AAGAATCAATACTCACGAAGTTTTCTGTTGATAATTTCCCGGATTTCTGAACGTTTGTCGGAGACGCGCTTCTTGTGGTTTTTGGCAGAACCTGAATGTAATTAGACAGAGAACACGATACTAGTAGGCAGACACTCACCTTGCATGCCTTGTACTGCAAAACCCTCCATTTTACTGACTAAGTCTTGGTTATCAATGCCCATGACGGTACCCATAAAATTTTCGACACCGTCGGTGGAAAATGCGATACCTCGAAGGGGAAGATCGGTAGAGCCGCGTGTAGTGTAGAGAATAGACTCTGCACCCGTACGACAATGCAGACTGATGAGCTAAAATTTAGGGGGGTCGTGTGAGAGAAATTCAATCAAAATCGACTAAGAACGTACCTCGTTTTCGACCGCCTTTAAGGTCTGTGTGATGTCGTTTATCTTCGACTTCGTTGAGGTACGAATACCGGTAGTCTTCGTCTCCTTCCATTCAGTGAACTCGGCAAGCAGTTCGTCTTGCTCCTCCCTCGAGAGGGCAAGGTACTCAGCCTTGTGATCATGCACGAGTGATTGGAGTGCAGCTTTACCGTGGGCTTCTACAAAAAAAAATTGAGCGGTGCGCACGATGAAGTGTGTGATAAATAAATGAACTCACCGTTCTCTCTATCCTGGTTCTTCTTCCAGCAAAACGCATTCCATAGATTCGGCTTTGAGCGTTTCGAGCGGAGAAGCCCCCGACCCACGTACAAATCATTTTGAACACGCCGGATACTTTTATGGTGGGTAGTAGCGATGGTTTTGGTAGCGTCGTCCAGCTGCTTCCAAGCATCGTCTAAAGAATCCTTGAATCGAAGGGACTTTGCACGTCGGTCAAGTCTGAGAGCAGCGCGAGCCTCTTTGCTGAGCACGACCTTGGCACGTTGACGTGTGGGTGGCTGAATATGCTTTGCGCCGCTTACACGCTTCTTAGCATAAAAGGATTGGGTGACCATCAGGAGAACCAGCAGAGACGAGTCAACAAACAATGGTCAAATATTTTCTCAACTATTTAACGCACCAGGTCCATGTTTGTTTGAAGTCCATGATCGGGACGAAATGACACATTATTGCATACTAACAAACCAACATTTAAGATCTACAGTAATAAAGACCAAAAAGTAAAGCGCACACAAAAAAACCAAAATGCCGAGAAGTTTCAGGATCGTGGTAAGCACCGATTATCGGTGCTATGCACAAACATTAATCAGATCAACTTGAAAAAATTCGCAGAATGGAAGATCACTAACCTCCAAATTAGCGACCTCAGGGTTGACGGCCTTCATACCCACTTGTAAGTCTACAAGGAGAGCGTTAGCTAAAATGGAAGCATTTTCGTAGTTGAGGTCCCATGCTGGAGACCTCAGTAATAGCCTCCCATCTACTACTGCGAACACTGCTGATCAAAGAACGGAGCCTTGGCAAAGTTTTCGTCACCCAATCTCAAATGATCAAGAGCGGCATCCGTGCGTGGCCCAATACTGATCAACGGTGCCTCGAAGACTGAAGGATCACAAGCGAGTCCTTCATATTTTGGTACCGCTGCAAGTGGGCTAGGCTTGGCAAATATATCGGCCGGACGACGTTGACGTATCTCGGAGCGTGGTGTCGATGGCGTGGCTTTGTTCCCTGATCCACGAGCCAATTCTGCTCCATGCCGAAGAGCTGCGGAGTCCGAAGAAGGTAGCGGGGAGAAGGCTTTGGAGGCTTGCGCCGAGCACTGGATGCGAGCGCCTGTGGCCACTGTGGGTGGAGGGAGATGTGGTGGACCACTGGCACTGATATGAGTTGCTGTGACTTGAGAGCTTCATTAGCAATTAAATAATGAAATAAATAGTGAAGTACTTACAGTTCCTTGGGGGTTTCACGTTTTCAACAGCACAACGAGCCGTAAAGCGCTGGAGATGAGGTACCACGAATTCCTGCGCAAATGCTTGCACCAAGACAGCAACATCTCCGCCAATTCTCTGCTGTGATTCTTGCAGCTCGCGGGGCGTGATATAGACATCGATGGGAAATTGTTCGGGCGAGATATTCGGAGTCGCTTCACTGCCAGCGCATCGAATCAGAATTGATATTCCACCATCAAGACGGTCCTTGCATAGTGATCTGAGAAATATCGTGAGGTTTAAGAAAAAGAAAGGTAGAAACAACTGACCGCATCAAAGACATCCTGGAGGGCTGCCTCGCCCAGCTCGCTGTGAGTCAGGGTCCGCTCTGCCTCGTTCACGTCAGTTGGCTGATTGAAGCCGAGGTAGGATGGGTGAAGACCCCCCGCTCTCCTCGTCTGGTAGTGGGTACCGTCGATATGAGCATCGTGCCTAAGCAGAGCTCGTGCAGCAGCTTGCCGCTCATTATTGCTGAAACCTGGTGCGAAAGTAGAAGTATACAAAGCCGCAAGACCTGACATAGTGAAGCGGTGGTATCCCACTGTTTTGGCACCTGAACTTGAAGATGGCTTCTTCAAGTTGGTGGAAGACGCCAGAATGAAGGGTGGTGGAGAGGGCGGTGGTTTCATGGATGCGAGTTGTTGGATGTGAGGTGTGGTTGAAGAAGTGAGGTGTAATACATGTAATGCTGTGAGGTGTAATGGCTATAGTATTATGTACACAGATTGATGTTCTCGCATACAGATTGATGTTCTTGCATGCACTATAATTCAAGTTCGGAGGCTCAGCGCTCAGCAATTATATGTATGCTACATTATCGCATTTTCTATCCTACAGTTGTATGTTACATTATATCCTATGTACAGTTGTATGCTACATTATCGCGCGTTATCTATCCTACATGTACAGCTGTATGTTACATTATCGCATATCCCACCTTAGTATGCTACATTAACGCATTTCTGCATTTCCGTCTGACGGGGTGTTGGGAAACAGTGTTTATATCACAACTAGACATACAGAACTAATGAACTAAGAGGTAAGTAACTGGTGCTCAAGTCAATGTCGAGTAGGTGGTGCCCAAGTCAGTCAACAATCGATTGTAAATAATCAGCCATCTCTTCCGTCAATGCATCTTGTTCTTCTTGATCAATGGCGTCAAGGTCAGTGTTCTCGAGGGATTCAGAATTGACCTGGAAACTCGCAATATTCCCCAGCGGTTGTCCTGTGAGATAGATTAGTATGAGATCTATGTACTCAAACAACACATACCACGATGGCCAACTTGATCAGCATCACGAGTAGATTCACCAGCGCGCTGAAGGCGGACGCCAACACCTTTGGCTCCCGAAAAAACCTGCGAGTTTCTCAATGCGACTCAACCGGTAACAATGCACTGCATTGATAGCCAGGCGCGAACGATATTGGCGCTGTAGCTCGCAGGCCAGGTGAGGGTCTGAAACGAGAAGTTCCTGCATGACGTCAGACACCCCAAGCTCTTCATCATGGATGGCGGTGCGCAGGCGCCGAACTTCAACGTTTAAACGAGTGATTTCTTCGCGAGCTCGATGAAGCTTGAAGTATTTCGTGGTGGCCTCTCGATGACCCGGCTTCGACCAATCACTGCTTCGAATGTCATCGCGAGAATGACGCAGAAGATCAAATTCGCCTAGAAAGCCATAATCAGCAATATCTTTCCAAGAAATATTCGGACGCGGTGGGTTGAGTCCGGCGGCTTGAGTGTTGTAGCGAATAATGGCATTGCGAATAGCTTCTGAACGACGTTGTAGAGCTTTGCCAATCTGCTGCCGTAGCTTGTACCCTACAAAATAAATAAATTCATCAGTGTGCGTATTTTGACATAAACGAGCTTACCGGTTCCTGATAATGACAGTTTCGAGAGCTCGAACAGCCTCATCACAACGAGGCGCTCTAGCTCATCTAAGGCGGTGCGATACTTGCCCATGCTCGCTTCTTCCTTGAAACGTTGGTACTCCAGTCCACCAATCTCCCACCGCTGGTCCACGGCCAACTGAGCCTCTATATGCGCGACAAGTCCCTCGGCGTTCTGTAGCTTAATGTATGAAGAGTCAACTCGAATACGAGCTTGTGCGAGGGCACTGTTGATCTGCGTTAAGCCTCCAGTGGGGATATTAGTAAGGGCGTTGTTGCCAACTTCGCGAGCTACATCCCAATCAGCACTAGAATGATCAGACATATCAGAGATAGGCTCGATTACGGTATGTAAACTTTACTCACCGCCGTTCGGCAAGTTCGTCCAAAACCTCAACGTAGCGTATGCAGAGTTGATCCCGAATTGGTGGCAGCTTCAATCTGTCAAGGTAATTACGTTCTTCATCAAGAAATCGCGGGAAATCTTCATCAGTAAGAAATAACTCGGCCTTGATGGCTGTGAGCTCGGCGGTGAGCGTCTGAATCGATTTTAATCCCTCTCGATAATGATTCCAAAGAAACGTGCCTGATCGTTCATTAGTTGCATAATTGATGGACTTGAAAAAAAAAAATTACGCACTGAGCGCGGCATATTTGTCAGCGTCCCAGAACGAGAAGTGCTCCTCGATTGTCTGGCGCCGGTGGAATGGGGTCGCATGTCTTGTACTGCGAGCAAGCTCATTTGATGACGAGAATACATGTTCACAACCTTCGCCCTCAGTGTGTCCGATTCCCGGAATGTACATGGGATGCCAGTCTAGCTGGCATTTGCGGTTATGGGCGTGTCCGTGAAAGGCGCCTACCATGAGCCGAAAATCTAACTCGCGTGCTTGCGTTCCCAGGGAACTGTTAGTTAAAGTCTTCGAAAAGGCGCATCCGATGTCGTAGGCACAGCCGCCATTCTTCCCATACACTGCGAGGAGCTTCTCAATAATAGCAAGCGGATATTTAGCCCTGTAGAATTATAGCTCAGCAACAATAAAGATGAGGGAAAAATAACCTAACAATTCCCCACTCCGGACCATGTCGCATGCCAGAACAACGAATCGATGACGACACGCTGCGATGAAAATACCTGATTCATCGAATACGGAGAACATTTTTTTGCGAGTGTCTGGTCCGGCATTACGCCACCGGTTGACGCACGTGAATGTCCCAGCACCTTCGTTTGCGGTGGTTTCATCTGTCCAGTTGTCATCGTCCGAATCCCTCTGCATAGCATAATCAGACTACAGTTGTGCACAGAGAGACGTCTTACCTGTCGTGTTCTGACTTCATCTTTGAACCTGTCTACATCACAAGTGTCAAGCCAGTAGTCCGACCGTGCCTTACGAGAATCTGTACGCCTGGTTGAGCCGTAGATCGCGGAGTCCCACCGTTTCAGACTATTGTTGCCATCTATAGACACCAGCCAATCGAATTCTAGAGCAGGCTCGTCCTCCAGCACGTAGAAGCATGCTGGGCATGCGTTAAGCATGCACCAATGCGGTGTGTCATGTTTCAGCGCCTTGCGAAGGCGCTGATTCACACGGTGGATGATTTCCAGATAAATATCGTAAGCGGCTGAAAATTGCACGCAAAGGTATGGTCGATAGGGAGACTATGACAGCATCATTAGCGAAGTCATAAGATGCGATTTATACGTACGTCATGCAGGAAACAGAGACTCTTGACTTGGGCTTGGACACTGAACCGAGGGCAAGTTCGATGTATTTGACGGTAGGCTGCAAGAGTGCGCAGTGATATGGCAACTGTTGGATAAATTGGTGAGCACCCGATGTAGCCATGATAGATCAATGTCTCATTGGGGTATTTGTGTGAGAGCCGTGATTGAGGTGAACTGTGGCTTCGTGCTGCAAATGAGTTAGGGTATGTAGAAGTAAAAAAAAAATTGTACGTACTAAATATATCAACAAGTTCAATGTTAGTCAATGAAACACTAGGAGAATCGCATAAAGGTGGTTCCGGATCTTTGAATGTCGGCATCCCGTCACCAGAGTCGCGAGAACGGTAGTCGAGGTAAGCATCGACAAGCTGGTCTAGCTGAAGGTCCCATTGATCGGTTTGATTTTCTGTGCGGTCCTGTCGAGTGCGGAGGTCAACATAGCGACTAGTATATGGTATGAGTGAGAGAATATAGAGATAAAAACCATACGTGCTAGCCACTGATATCTGCGATCTGCTCAGCAAGTCCTTCGAATGCTTCATACTCTCCACCTGCATGACTGAATTCCATCCCTTCGTCTCCAGGAGGTGCCGTGAGCGGCAGGGTCTCAATATCCATGCCGCAGTCAGCCATCATATCCTCCACCATATGGCGATCCTCATTGGACATCTCTGACATGAGTGGGACGTGGGGGTTAGAGTTACAGGCGATAAAAACTATAAAGCAAAGAAATACCTTGAATTTGAGCCTGACGGCTTGCATCTGTAACTTCCCTGCGTTGAAGCTGCCGGCCAGCTGTCAGAATACGCGATTGGCGCTGTCTCCCTCGAAATTTGTGTGTGATGACCGAGTTTGAGAGGCCCTTGAGCTTATGATACCCTCCTCCACGAGACATGAGGAGCAAGAGTGATATTTGAATAGTGCAATCCCCAAGTGATGACTCTGTGGGCATAGGTGAGTAGCTGAGAGCAGAGCGTTGGTGGGTGAATATCTGAATAGTGCGATCCCTAAGTGATGACTCTGTGGGCGTAGGTGAGTAGCCGAGACTAGAGCGTTGGTGGGTGAATATCTGAATAGTGCGATCCCTAAGTGATGACTCTGTGGGCGTAGGTGAGTAGCCGAGACTAGAGCGTTGGTGGGTGCACAGACCACTTGGGCAGGGGTTGTAGAGGGCGGTGGTGGGCAAGGATAACAAGGTGGGAGGCAGGTTGGTGCAAGCAGCGTGCTGGGACAGGTGTTGTAGAGTGGGATGGGAGGCAGAATGCTGCAAGCAACGTGCTGGGGGCGCAGAGACGACTGCGGTGCTGGGATTTTGGGTGAGGCAGATGAAGCAGATGTTGTAGAGGGCAGTGGTGGCCTTGGGCAGATGTTGTAGAGGGCAGTGGCCAGGCTATAGAGGCGGCAGCGATTGCCTGCAGTGAGCAGCCTGCTATGTGGTCGGGATAAGGGAAAGGTCGTGGGAACCCGACAAATCAACCTCTATGACGAAAATAGGCGCATTGCGGGAAGTGCCGGATTGAGCGCGGCGGCGGTATACGTTCCTGGGGCGGGGCGCCAGCTTACTTAAACATTAGTACTAGGCTTTGGTGGTGGTAGAGGTACAAGGTGATTTGGGGCACGGTTTAATACTGGTGTCTGGATATTACTACATCCTAGCCTAATTATAGTTGACGAGGCACGTTATCGTTCAGCCTAGTAAGGCTTCCTAATTGGGCTACCCAGGTGCGCTTTTGGTATATCGCGGTGCACATTTCGCAAAGGTTTCCTACGGTTGCGCCACATGATGTCCTAGTTTACAAGACGCCCTGTACGAACCTGCACTCGAATACTACACCTCACTCCAAGCGTGTCAGGCGCAAGCGCAATCGGCACTCTCAATCTGTTTCATCCTACAACCCCCGCCTCTTGCTTCCATGGGTGCCGCGAGCACCCGCCCACTGCGCCCAGAAGGGTGGACCGTGCGGTATGAATACAAGATGGCATGTTTTGCAGAGTTCAGGGGTGAAGACGAGGTTGCGCTCAAGTCCGTCACGTTCATCGCTCTCAAAGAGATCGTAATACTAAGTTTCTCAGACACTATTAAGATGCGTACGCGACACTCATGATTATGTTCGGATCGACTGCTATCCTGCTCCCTCGAACCAAGCGCTGGGCAGAGGCCAAGGTCCTTGCGGACGCCATTAATGTGAAGGTGCGATTGCATGCGCCTTGTAGGATTACTCTTACAGCTAAACCAACAGATAACCAAACTTTACCTGTACAATCACGAACACTTGCTTGCACTTTCGCATCACAACTCCCACATGCGCCGGTTCGCAGATTTTTCACGCGGATGGGGTATAGGCGAGGAGACATTTGAGTATTGGAGTTGGATGGCGAGACAGTACGGCCCTTATATCCAATACGTCCAACGAATTTCTTATTGTGTCTTCCAGACACCGCGTCCTTGCAGAGCTTCTAGAACAAGGATCAAACTCTTCGCTGATGTTCCCCACAAATTCACCTCATTCGCTCACGGCTGGTATGTCATCGACAAGCACGCCCGTAGAGCTAGACACTGTTCGGGCCCTCGGGTTGAATCCTAGCCATGCCTTGCAGCATCCGGGCCATTACTACTTCATGGCCGCCCGATGCACGGAAGCACGCAGGGAGAGGTTCTTGGCCAACGAGGTATATTTGGTGCTTTGATCCATCAATTATATCTCACCTTTGGAAGGGTATCTCACAAGGGACAAGTGGAGCCCCAGGATACGCAAAGGAGAAGAAAGTTGACCATCTGACGTTGATTCTTGAGGTTTGTGCTTTGTTTCTGTGAGACAGTTTAATGGAACATTCTTACGACACGGTGCGCCGATTACTCTACCTGTCGTTGTAGCCTCGGCAGCACCAAAACCCAAAGATCCTCCATCGACCCCTTTGATTCGGAAGGCTATCTTCAAGGCTCCGCGGCAATCTCCTCTTGGCAGTATGCTGGATTCAGTTTCTTCGGACTCGGAGCTCTCAAAGGCTGCGGAAGCAGTGGCAGGCGAAATGGAGGAACGGGCAAGTCAAATGCACATTCCAGAACTCTTCCGATCTGTAGCGCAGTCATCTGCGGCTGCCCCAGTAGCCAACGCAGTCAACTAGGCACCAAGCACCATCTCCGACTGCATTGCACAGCTGAATGCGTACGGTGGGGCTCTCTTTGTGGGCTACTGTCCGGCTTGGTTGCAGGAGTCGGCGATAAGATGGAATAAATGGGTTTACCGATGTGGGTATAACGAACAGACTGGGAGGAATCTGCTCTGATGTGAGGGCGATATGTTCGACCTCTAGGGGAAGCTGAGTCAGGCGGAAGTCGGGCGACTAAGTGCGCTCGAGGCGCGGGAACGCGCGAGGTAAGCGGAGGGCGCGGGAAATGCGCGGAAGGCGCGGAGGCGCGGGAAGATCGCGCTCGTAGAGCACAAGTGCGGAAGGATGTCTAGGATCGTGTAGAACGCGTGGGATGGGTATCAAGCGAATGTATTATGGATATAGACTGATAGGGAAAGGAGAGTATGACTCCTGACTATAGATAGGTGCTCCCTAAGACATAGCACAAACTGTGGAGCTCTACTAAGGGTGATTGCATAAGTCCGGAACCTTCTCTCAGAAAGCCCAGTAGATATAGAGGATAGCTAGCGAAGAGGGAGCGAAAAGCGTCCTAAAGCGGCCGAGGAGCGCGGAAGCGCGGGAATGCGGCCGAGGAATGTCACAGATGTATGTAATGAGACAGCGGATGTCAGAAAACCAATATATGTATGTAATACGCACCTATGGACCGAATAGACAATGGATGGATGGATCAGAGGAAGCGCGGGAAAGCGCGCGCTGAGCGCGAGCGCGGGAAGTGCGCGGAAGGTGCGGAAGGTCGCGGGAAAGTCGCGCCCACCTGTGGATAGGGATGAGGTCGATGTAGAAATCAGGGAATACGAGCCTGTAGAGATATCACTCTCTACACCGAGAGCGCTTGAATAAGGTCGTTGAAGTTTGTTTGCCAAATAGGGAGCTTGACGCACTCATCATCGATGGTACAGTCAATTTTTTTTTACTTCATATGCAGTTATTGAAGTGATCTACAGCGTTATTGCACTTCGTCTGTGCTTCCCTAAGCGAGGATCGGTATGGTGTGGTTCAAAGGGACATACCACGCATCATCGAAGCTTTCCTCTCGTTTTTATCTGCAATCGAGGAGTATCAGATGGAAGTGAACGCGAAATACACACCACCGACGCCCGATGAACTATCGCAAGGCGACACGAAAATATTGGAAGAAAAAGAGATGATCCGTGTAGAAGTTGCCAGAGCGAGCGATGTACTCGTCGTTGTCTCAGATGGTTTGTGACTTCATTTCTTGCCCAGACACCTTTTAATAATTCAATTGTTATAGCACTGAAAACCGGGGTGGCAAATATTTCACGGACGTTCGGCGATAAGCTAGTTGCTTTCAAATTCCCTCCTCGGACGGCACGGAAACTACAGTCATTCGTTGACTACACCTAGTGTTTCGGCGATTAGAATCAGGGATGACGAATCCATCAAATCCTCTAAACCCCAGGCTCCTGGTGACTGCTCGCATTTTGTGCGTCTCGTGAGGTACTAAGTGGCAGCATTGTTCGAACTTCAGTAACTTAGGGCAGGCAGCCCCCGCTGTATTTATCCTTCGAGCTTCAGAACGTCATACTATCTATCGTAACCAACTAATGATCCTGTGCTGGAACGTGCATCGTAAATGTGTGCTCATCGCATTAACGTATCTTTATGCGGAATGTTGAATGAATCCAGCATAACTTGGCCATCATCGGACAGTAAGCTGGAGGTACTTCGGTAGAGCTAGACATCTTGTAGTGTTCGGTTTCATTTGGATTTTGCAGTTTACGTTCCGAGTTGATTGTTTTCGAGTGTGAGAATTTGACGTCGACAACGCGGTCACGTGATGTTTATCCCTTCGCAATGCGCATTGCGCAACGTTCGCCGAATCAAAACGTTGATAATAACAAAGGCCAACTTATCGCATTTTGCAGGTATGCGTAGAATTCGAGTGGTCAACGTGTCTTCGGAACTAACACTAGCTAGTAGCGGCAGACAGGTTGAAAAACACCAGTAGCTCACTGGGCTATCGTCCAACGGCTTCAATCGAGATTTGGATGTATCCGGGTCCAGGTGACTGAGCTTTTTGTTGAGATTGAGGGCTCCTGCGCTGATCGCATCTTTCCAAATTTCTAACATCGAAGGCTCAGAATATAAGTACCAATATCTTGTCGATGACTTAGAGGGTATGATTAACTTCAAGTGGTGGTGGCTGGTTGCGATCACCGCTGCCAGAGCATGATGTTTCAGTCAGCCTCCACTGAGTCAGTTGTCATATTTCATGGCTGCCCTTCCTAACATCCCACAATTTCCTCTTGTTTGTGATTAACATGCTTCTCACCGATAAATCTCTGTCTCTGTCTGTATCTTCCATCCCTCTCGCCAAACCCCAGACACCTATTCGGCGTGTGACTGCTCTCTTGCGTTCTCCTCTTCAACTCAGCAAGCGTGCCCGTCCACGTTCCCAATCCCTGGACACCGAAAGGCTTCCGATCAGTCGCCCCCTCTATTACACTCCTCCCCCCGCGGTTGCCCTTCAGACCACGTCTTCATCCACCGACAGTATCATCATCACATCTTTCCAACGTGCACCATTCTGCTGCCATGAGGACCTCGTTACCATGCCTCGGCGTGAACTTGTGCAGGTTGCTCAAAGCATCAATGGACGTCTGCCAAAGGCACTGCAAATTGCGTGCGGTGATGATGTGGAGGATGCGGATATTCGGAGAGCGATAGAGGTCTTAACTGATACGCGCAGAGACGGAAGGAGATATAATACCACCCGTTCCAGGCGCACCTAGGGCGGTACGGACAAAGAGCATGAGTGCGGTATTGGAGGATGAAACATCCTGGGATGTGGATAACGACTCGAGTGCAATGAACGACCGATCAATTGCCATTCCTTCTAGTCCACTCGCTATGCGTCGCCCGCGATTGGAAATGCTCAAGGAGGAACAAGAGCATGAGGAACCTTTGAAAAAGCGGAGGCGGGCTTCACCACAGAATGACAATACCCTTGCTGCATGTGTGCCTACTGCGTCAGGCTCACGCCTCATCGAGAGTATTGACATCTGAGCCTCTCCTCTGCTTGCGTTAGACAGCAGCAAAGCCATTAGCTCCCTGACCAGTACTCAAGGGAATGTACAGCGTCGACGCAGCGCTCGTCTCTCCGGTCACAACCCCCACCCGCGCGAAGTTGTAATTCGCCTCCCCTTCGCATCTTCGCCCAAAGCGCAGCCCGCCCGCATGCTCCGTTCGTACTCACAAAGAGCAAGCCTTACGACGTCTGCGCAGGTCTCGAAGCTCAAGCGTGCTCAATCTGATGCCAATGTCACGCTTACACGCCCCAAGTATCATTTCCGACGCGGGCGCACTACACCCAAGGTTGTCGATCCTGTCGGCTTCGTGCCAGAGGTCGAGAAGACGCTGCAGGTTCTACCGATGATCCACGCAGGGTCTGGGCTTGCCGTCGATTTTCTCACTCCTAGGGCCCGTCACCTGTACATGTAGTGTTGATGCTTCAAAGTATCAGACCAGAGATAGCCCTTGATGCATAAAACACTCTAATCCCTTGGCAATGAAGCATCAAGTCAGAGAGAATACTGCCGCCCTAGCTAATCCCTTGGCAATGAAGCATCAAGTCAGAGAGAATACTGCCGCCCTAGCTAATCCCTTGGCAATGAAGCATCAAGTCAGAGAGAATACTGCCGCCCTAGCTAGAGACGAGGCTGACATAAGGTCCGCCAGATCTCAGTTGTTGATCTCAGTGCCCGATTCCGTTGTTGAGGCTGACATAAGGCCCGCCAGATCTCAGTTGCTGATCTCAGTGCCCGATTCCGTTGTTGGTGCTCCGTTGCTGGTGCTTCTCCGTGCTTGGTGCCTCTCCATCGTTGGTGCTTGGTGCCTCTCCACCGTTCACGGTACCAGGAACCAACAATACGAAAATTGATGCGAACATTGCTATATTTAGCGACAAAAAACACGCAAAAGCTCTACTACAACACGGGGGGATCCATACCAGGTGATGGGGACTGGAGAAGGGCCGGCACGACACTCCACATCTCCTGGAATCTCACCCGCATCGCCCTCCGAAGAGCAGCCTGGCGTTTCGCATATCCTTGGAGACCCTCCTGTTCGGGTGCGGCTGGGACAGTCCTCCAATTTGCCCGCTTCTCCCACCATCCCGCATGCCAGGCAAGAAAGTCGGCTACACGGCGCATCTCCTCTTGCAGGAGCTCGACTTCCTCTGCCCATCGGTTAGCGCGTGCCCGAGACTTGCACCACTCGATACGCAATCCTATTCGAAGGATTAGGTCAATTCCTCATGCCAGTCAAGGACGAGGACCCGTACCTTCAGATAGGACAGCTTCGCCATCTTCGCCAACTCCAGCTACACCACAGGTCTTCCAGATCCAGGACAAGGTGCGCTTGCCTTCGGATTGCCCGGTTTCTCCCTCCGCCATCCCCCGAACATCAGCCAGTTGTAACTCTGGCAACTCTACTTCCCAATTCGGCTTGCCCAGGACCGCGGATAGTGTCTTGATTGCTGACCAGGCTCTACGATACCGCGCAACAGCAGTTTTTATCGTATGCTCCACTTTGTTAAGCACCGTAGACGCCCTAGTGTTAGCCCGTTGACCCCGGATGTGTGTGTCCTTGAACTTGTAAAGGTGAGTGCGAAGCCGAAGCTGTCGGCGAAGGTCGTCCAGAGCTTCGTGCGCCTGAGCACGCCGTAACTCCAATTTGTATGCGCAAAGCGGCTCCTCGCACAACTCAGTGGTCTCCTTGACCTTTGACGGAAGCCACAGCATGACTTCATGTGCTTTCTCCTCACGGACAGATTGCGCATTCGCAGTGTCAATTGCACGAAGGCGGCCGACTCCAGGCATGTAGAGCAACTGAATATTGCACCACTGCTCTATCTTTCGAAGGAGTGCATTCGAGCGTTCCTGTAGCTTCGTCAATTGCAGATCCGTCGGATGGGCACTGAGAGCAGCCATATCTTGTCGTAGGCGGTATCTGTAGATAATCTGTTACGAGCCATGAATAAGAAACAGATCTCAAACACGTACTGTTGTTCTTCGAGGTCAATTCCAGATGATATCAGCACGCTGGGTGAGATATCTGTATGCAATGAATTGTTGAGTCCATTTTCGAGGTCTTGAGCTTCCTGTTGAGATAGTTTGAGGCGCACGGCAGCCAGCGTCAAGGCTATATGTGATTAGTCTGCGACTCTAACATACAGAGTGAGTCACACGTACAGACCGTCGTTATCTCGAACGGATTTTTGCTTGAACGGTCAGACTCCCAGCTTTCTACAACTTCTTTCCACTGGACTACTTCACTTGGACGTTCGTTGGTCAGCGCGCAGTTGAATTCGTCGAAGTCGCGCTGGTGTTGTTCGCGCTCGGGAATTGCGGTCTTTATCTTGCTCAATAAACTAATACCTAAGGGCCGCTATTTTCAAGGTCTGTCACGCTGAGACGATAATGAATACGTACCGAAGTTAGTAAATTTCTTCCAATTGTAGTAACCGAAATGGTCATCAAGGGTATCTCTGCGTGCACCAGGGCCCATCTCCCGTGTGCTCGTAGCAACGGGATTGATATTGGCCCATCCTCGCTCGGGAGCCTCGCCATCTGTGCGACCCATACCTTTGATAAGGTTATGCGAAAAAGAGGTCTGACAAGCGGTGATATGGGCTGGCAAGTGAAACTTCGGAACGAGGAAAGTCATTGTCTTTCCGTCACGCTCGAAGTGTAGACGCGATGGGTATTTCGACATTCGGGTCCATATATTCTTGCTCCACTGACAGGCGATGTCATAAGACACGTTAAGTACGATGACTTCGCTGGAGTGCTGTACGGTCGAGAAAAAGAGATAATCCATATTTACATACCTGGTTCAAAGGTAAGTGATGCAACAACGATGATATAATTAAATACATACTTCTCTCCTCGTTGAAGATCTCCCACTCCACAAGGCCGCTTGAAGTTGTGACGAGAACAGTCTACGGTCCCTGCTCCTGTCGCAGCCAGCCCTCGTGAGTTCTTTGTTTCAGCGAGGTTCACGGCGTTGTGGCTGACGCAAGTGCTTTTCTAAGTCATTCTGTCAGTGATAGCAATGTAGAAAAAAACTGTTCGCATACCTCTTGTGAGACCTTTCCGACATCCTTCAAGAATAGTTTGAAGCCGGTCTCCTCAACAAAGTAAGCCCACCCTTTACTTAAACCAGGGTCGACGCTATCGGACGACACGTTCTTCCGTACCAGACGAAAGTTCGCGTCGATAGCGAAATATTGTGCGTACAGCCACTGCTTGTCAGGCGGCGCCATTTTCCAGTCTTCCGGTAGATTCTTGCCAGGGTGAGGGCAGGCGGGACAAAGTACGGCGCATCCTCCTAGTTCGGTCGCATTAATACCAGCAGGATCGTGACCTCGGCCGAAACGTTTAAGAAGTGTGATGTTTCGCCATTGCTTGATCATGCGCAGTAAGCTTTCGTAACGATACTATCAATTCAACATTAGCGAGTCCACCTTTCATAGACACACACGTGCTTACCTTGCAGGGCTTGATTCCTGTGTTATCCGTGAGACGAGAGACTGTCTGCCAATATTTGAATGCGGACACTTTTGACTCAAAAGTCAACATCTGGAAGTGTTGCAAAAGTCGGAAGGTGGCAGCCGATTTGGGGTCGGAGCATGTTGCAGGATACAAGCGGGCTCGAAGAATTTGGGTTACATGACTTTGTGCACACGAGCACCCACAAAAGTCTAGCGCAACTTGATGAACACGATCTATGTCCAGAATCACAAAGCCATCGTCGAATGCCTTGCTTGGATTGAAGCATCGTTCGCCAACTGCGTGGCCAAGCTGGATTCGGAGTCCAAGATGTTTGAGGGTAGTCTCCTCAAAGTAATAACCATTCCAGCGCTAAAACAACAGTTAGCACACCTGAAGATAGACGATCTAGGCTATGTACCTCGATCCTGTGCAACGGCTGATCACGATGTCTTTCCACCGTGCAATCCTTACAGTACAGCTCGGTGCCGAAACAATCTTTGCAGCGATACTCTGGCTCAAATGCACATCCCCGATGTCCATGACAAGCTTCACGAGTGGCATAATCACCACGGCCTTCGAGTCTAATCAACTCCATAAAATATTTCTCTCGGTCATCGACCCAACGGGTCATGGCACGGTCCTGTCCAATATCAATTTAAAGAACATTTTACAATTAGAAATTATCGTACACCTATTGGCCTTCGACGATTCTGAGGCCCCAAAGTAGACTCAGCCAAGTCAGGATCAACGAAGTCGTCGCCGTCAGGTTCGTCGACGTCAGGTGCAGATGAGTCGAAATCATAGCTGAACTCCTCTGTCAGCGTCTCGGGGACCAATTGAGGTGCATGTGAGGTATGCGCAGAACTACCTTCAGCGACATGGAAGAATTCGGTTTCGGTGGAGATCCTGCCTGAAGCGGTTCGAGAAAAACAAGAGTGCTTATGAAAAAGCTCGGGGTCGTCAGCCGCACGAGATGAGGACAAAGCTTGACGTTGTGCTTGCTGAGCGTGGAGGGCTTGCTGAGCGTGGAGGTTGCTGTTGAGTATATACCAGTCTCTCTTTAGTTTGTCCATTTCACGTCGACGTTTGCCGCCAACCATGATGGCAGTTTGTAGTTGAGTAGATTCTAGAAGCTCAGCGCTCAGCTCAAGGCTTAGGCGTGGACGCAGCATGTTCATACATGTGATACACACGTGATCGACGCGTTCATACTCATGTGATACACACGTGATCGACGAACGAGGCAGAGTCCAGACTCTGGAGTCTGGAGGTGTAGATAGCGCTAATGAGGACATGTGCAGGTAATACTACAATATATGCTAATCTACCCTAACACCTTCTGCCACACGAGTTGGTCGCTCCGGAGATGCTCGAAGTATTTATCTGTACTGTCGTCCATCAATGTCAGTCCCTCTTCCAATGCATCACAGTGCAATTCCACAGCATCAACAGCAGCTGCAGAAGATGCAAGAAGATACCCTGTACATGCACCATCCGCCCGCAGTGAACTTGCAAGCAGCTCGCGGGCTTCGGAAAGAAGCCCTTGTGCCTCTACTAACATTTCTTCACAACGCGGCCTCACAGCTTGCCATCCTTCATTATCAGCATCACAGACTAGCCCGAGGCTCTGGCACTCAAGGACTGCATATTGGGAAGGACCTGGCCGATACCCTAGGTTGAGCCATAGGTGGTCCAGTGATAGCAAAAGTTGTTGAGTAGGCTGAGTAGCTCATTAGCCTATGCGCTGTTCGTGTCATGTGTAGAATATATACATACCTTTGTGGCTCCAAGACCTTTGCGCCAGCGTGTTCTAGATTTAAGGTGTTCGTTGATCTTGTGCCTGTAAAAACTCGATACATTTTTATCCACATCGATTGATGATGCCAGTGACGACGTACCTTTCATAGTATCTTTGCTTTGATTTTTTTCGGGCCTCGAGGCGTTGTTGTTCAGTTTTGTATTTAGGTGGCATTTGAAGCTGTGCGAAGGATGCAATATTGATGCATCGATTGAGAGCAAGCAACGAGTGACGCTGGAAAGTATACGAGATTGTGCGTGAATTGTGTGTGACTTACTTTGGACTTACTTGGAATGTAATGGCACTGTGCGCACAGACACTTCAGGACAGATACAGCAAACACATTGCTGCGTGCACAAAGACTCTGGATAGATACAGCAGTTTGAACACACAAATTGTCAAGGGTCCGCATTCATAACTACACACAGATAGTTAATACAATAGAATAAACGTAGTAGCACTTCACCGTGCTTTGAATTGCTGGGTGCACGGACACTTCGGGACAGATACAGCCAATGCAAAATGTCGAGGGTCCACATTCATATTCATAGCGACACACAGATAGTTCAAACAATAGAATATCAATTTTCATGTTCCCAAACACATCTTTATGCTATGTACAGTAAGGGCAAAAAAACTGCTACAATAAAGTCACTGATGTGCGCCATCAACCCATCCGCTCAATCTATTACAATAGCGGTGCTAGGAGATGAGCCATCATCTTGTGTAGCGGGTGAACGTGCTAAGATAAAATAAATTAGAATTAGAGCTTAGCGAAGAGAAAACAACTCACCAGTAGTACCAAGCTGGGGCTCGGGTTCGTTGGGAATTTTGGCATGGCAGGCATAACACTGGTGACGGTGTTTACGGAAAACGCAAGCAGGGCAATCGTTCGTATGAGGAGAAGGCAATTCTGCGGTGGTATTGTTGTGTGCTTGGAAGATCTCTGTGTAGATAGTCAAACGATGAGAGTGTCAAGGAACATAATCAAAATTTACCTACCATCCTGGTCCCTGATGAGCTGCAGAGCGGCAGCAAGTTCATTGATGGTGAAGGTTAGTGGCTCCACCAACGACGGAGTGTTGTGTGCTTGGAAGATCTCTGTGTAGATAGTCAAACGATGAGAGTGTCAAGGAACATAATCAAAATTTACCTACCATCCTGGTCCCTGATGAGCTGCAGAGCGGCAGCAAGTTCATTGATGGTGAAGGTTAGTGGCTCCACCAATGACGGAGTGCACGGCGTGATGCAGACCGTACAAGTGTTATTATTGGAACTCATTTTGAAAATGAACCGATAACGTGTTTCTGCTAAATGGGGGTGAGGCCTTGGGGCGGTAGCTTTTCATTTTTGCCACGTCATGGATTATATATATAGGTGTAAAATTTAACTCCGATCCAATTACTATAGGAATAGAGGAACATGATTGGTCCCTCGTGGATGGCTGAACCTTATTTTGAGGCTGGACTGTATGTTAGTTTGGTCAGACGGCCGCATCTGAAAGTACCCGAAACCCTTACAACAGCCAACCATAAGCAAAAAAAATAAAAGTAAGCAATGTCTAATATCCTACTGATATGCTGTGATCGATCATGGCACTTTAAAGCCTTCTAGCCGACTTACCGGACACAGACCCAAAAATAACAAGGTAAGCGGTGACGCATGCCTAGCAATATGCTGTCATTGATCACACTACCATTATGACAGATGGTTGGATCCCAATGGACAAGCTCCGAACAAAAGGATTACCTAGAGTCTCAATTCAGCGAATTCCTGAAACATCAACTTCAGGGTACTTTGTTGAATTTCTGGTCCACAGTTAGCGTGGAATTCCTAACACGATGGCCCGAAATCAATGTACTGTATCCAGACCATTCTGAGCTCAGCGAGGCTGAGAATGTGGTCCTGGGAAAGGCAGTTGATGCGCGCAAGAAGGTTAATACATTTTGCAATAATGAATTTGAAAAAGACGCTCATTTCAAAAACCAGCAAATTAAAAACTGGTTCAACTATCGATCTCGCAAGGGCGGTCGATCGCAACTCAACGCGCTGACAAAATCGATTACCAAGATGATCAGCAACAAGGCAAAAGGAACTCGGGTCCATACCGAGGTGGAAATATTTTCCAAAATGAATTACGACACTGCCGTACGGTCCCAGATTAAGGAGAAAATCGAGTCTGGGTTGCTCGTGACTAAGAACGATAAATTGTTAGCGGTGAGGGAGTCAACAAAAGCAGCCTATGAGGCGGCGCCACCAGAAATTCGGACATTGTGCAAGGAGAAAGCTGCCGAAGAACGGGAAACTAGGGCCTCTGTTATGCTATCCGACGCTGCCATTGGACCACCTACTAACGCGCAGTATGCAAAGTGAGTATTGTTTATCACTATGTACATGTCTTGCTTACACTATCACATTAACTTTAGGGCGCTAGAGGAGTGTATTGGCCCGATTTCACAATTTTTCGATGCAATGCGACAGCTAACAGGTTGGGAGTGGACAGTCATTGGTGGGGGACCCGATCCTCGCCTTGGCGGCATGCTTAATGTATCGAGGTACGTAGAGTTCGATACGTACGTTTTCCGTTCTTAACGCTGATTGTTTTTAGCTATCACACAGGCGTGAATCAATCTGGCCTTACGTGGAAGCAGGCGACTTCGAATTTTACGGACAAGCATCTCAACCCATACCTGAGTTATCTTGGGACCGTTTTCAGTACGTATTATTATTTCTTTTGGGGGCTCCTCTACTAATGTAATGTACAGCCGAAGATGACAGGAAGAAGCGCGCGTTAGACTACGTACTCCTGGTGGAACAAGACGAGAATTCCTGGCGTCAAGAGGCCGAGGCTCCGACGATGTTGGATGCGAGCACCTCATTGCAGGTGGCTCTCTCGTCACCTGCAGTGGCCACAGCATGCGACTCCCAGCAAGCTGTAAATTCCGCGTTTTATCGGGGTAAAGAAGCAGCCACTGGAGTGCCTGCAGTCCCTGAGAGCCTTCTGCCCTTCGACTCACCAGGGCCCTCACGCTTCAGCTCACAAGGCATTGATGACCTGTACTCTTGGGCTGTCAATACCCCCCTTGATACCCCCCTTCTCAGCCAACGACCCTCATCATCAGTACCTTGGCCTCAAACACCTATACTCCCTGCATTTCCGTCAACGTCATTGGTGCCTCCCCTTCCATCGACTTCGCCTGATACTCCCATTACATCATGGAGGAAAGACCCCGAGCTGTGGGATACAACAAGGGATTTGACATCTCCCGCTGTTCCTTCAGTGACAGCGCCGATATACAACTTCGACGGCTGCTCTATTTCCTCCAGTATCAATCCACGGCAAATTCCGGTTCTTCCTTACCCCATAGCAACCGACCAACTGACTGACGACCTCCGTCCTGCCGCTACTCTAGCCCAGCTGACAGCTGTCACCAGTGTGGACCTCAGTGCTATGGACGCACCTACTGCAGAAGCACCCACTACTGTTATTGATGCTGACATTGCTGCTACAGCACCGACTGCCTCTCATGTTCGCGCTGTTGCTATGGTCCAGGGGACTGGTATGGAACTACCCACCATGGACACGACTACCACGAGCGTGCCTGCCGTAGACACAACTACCACGGGTATGCCTGCCATAGACACGACTACCGTGGATACTGCACCTGCTCCCCAAATTGCAGTGGTGCAAGCAGACGAGGACATGCCTGTGGCCGCAGACCAGGGTGTTGTCAGGAAAAGCAAGGGTGGTAAGAAAGGTGTCGAGCAGAGGCGTCCGCAAACTGCACGCATCCAACCTTCCAGTAGCTCACCCCCCTCAGTCAATATCCCTCTTCGGAAGACAGGTCGTGTCCGCCAGGAGTCCACACGCATGGCACAAGCAAACACTATAGGTGAGAGTGCAAAGAGACATAGGACAGGCGAAGTGGAGAACGCCCTCCCAAAGAAGTATGTGCTCTTTCTGTCAGCGTTGTACGGCACTAATTTTATGGCAGGAAACGCAAATCTTACGCCTGAGTTACCTGCCCATCAAGATGATATTGTAGTAATATCTTTCTTATATGTTACACTAGTCGAAACCATACTGCATGTATTGTGATACCCCCCGGGGCCACGATTGACTCATTAATACATTGACTTCTTGCTGCAATTCGCCGGATATGAATGTATTTGCAGTGTCAGACTTGGTGGAAATTTCGTGCGCGCAGCGCTGGTGAGACTTGGCAAAAATTTCATGCGCACAGCGCTTATACACCCTTGTACAATACTTTCGTGCGCGCAGCGCTGGTGAGACTTGGCAAAAATTTCATGTGCACAGCGCTGTATACACCCTTGTACAATACTGCAGACGGGACTTAGTGAAATTTCAATCAGTAAGTGGTGAATCTCGATCCGCCTTCAGCGCATCACAAGACTTAATGAGAAAATTCGTCGTATAAACACTGATATGTAAGCATTGAATCTCGATCCAGGACATCAAATTAAATGGGCTAGCCAAGTCGAGGACGGGGGGGAGAAGCCAAGAATAGAGGAAAGAAGCCTGAAGAAGCCAAGAAAGGGGCTGCACCAGCCGTAGCCGAGTCGAGAAGGGGGGAGAAGCCAGGAATGGAGGAAAGAGGCCTGAAGAAGCCAAGGAGGGAAGCCGGGAAGGGAGCTAAGAAGCCGGGAAGGGGCTGCGCCAGCCAAAAAGGGTGAAATCTGAAATCTGAAATGTCGTGAGAAAGCGTGAGAGACACCAAGAACCAGCAAAGGCGTTTACCAGCCCAAAAAGGGTGAAAGCAAAGATCTGAAACGTCGTGGGAAAGCGTGAAGCTTCAAGCGCAGAGACACAGAGGCTTGATGCTTCATGAAGCATCACGCTACAGACATCAGGGAACTAGACACATTGTGCATCAAGGTGTGTCTCTTATTACATACCTTTATGCTTCAATATGACACTATAGCCTGGGCCCGTAGTGCGAGCGCATCAACCGCGGTCTCGCAGGGGAAGAGTGAAATCGGCTCAGGGGTCGTGGAGGCGATACTCCGTCCTTACAATATGTAGATGTGTACCGCCAAACATTGTACTCGTAATCATTGTGCAAATTACAAGCCACGCGTGAATTTGCTCGGGTCTTCGTCCGCAACCTCCATCACCCGTCGTTTTGCCGTCATCCAACACTTTTCATCCCCTGGCTAAATCATCGTAATGGCCCATACCAAGGTGTGTTTGCAGAACACTCATCTACAATACGTTATACTCACCCTTAATCCAGCAAACCGCTCGCAAGTCCACTGGAGCTACGACCTTATCGGTTCTCGTTTTCACTCACATTGTGACACCATTGTTGTGTATCCGCCAAGCGACCTGTGAGGTAGTTGGGGAATATGTCAATCAGCGCTTGAACTTCGGAAATGTACTACTAGACAACCTGAACTTGGAAGCTATATCAATGGTCTCAGCATTTAGTCTCCTGTGAGCACATGAGCATTTGGTGCAGTATGCCACGAAATTCGCAGAAGCCGGCCGAGCCCGAGCCGAGTATATAGCAATGCAATCTTTGAAATATCTTTTCCGGGTCGGCTGAGAAGGAAAATTCGCGCTTCTGGCGGGATATCATCACATCTTTGCTCTATGGCACAAACCGTTGTATCTATTATAGTTTAGCAATTTGACGTGCAATTTGCAGACATCCTATGGCTATGTACAACGACTCAATTTTTCGTGGTATGGATAGCCTTATAGTTCAAAACTTTAGTCAAGGAGAATGAGCTTGCTCAACAAGTGGGACATAATCACACTATCGTCCCTCGTCGGCCGCGATGGTACAATGTTGTGACCTTGCCACGAACCCCCACGCTGATCCAACGTTGATGAAAAATGCCAAAGCCACTTTCCATGAGAATGTCTTCAATAGCCTTGTAGCCCAGAACGTTAATAAGGGAAACGAAAACACCTAACAAATCCGATGTCGATACACTAACTATCCGTACTGGGGGGTGATGATACAATATCGTAATTTTGTTTTGAACTACTCGTTGTAGTCTACATTTGCAGGCATTCATGGTTATGTACCCACAACGACAATCTCTCGCAGTATATATAGGCATATTTAGGTGGAGCAGAATTATATTCTTCTATAGTTCACACGGTTACAATCTCAAGGACTCTTGAATTCTCTGATGTTGCACTGTACAGTGTACACAATGAACCACATATTTTCCCCCGCCTTGTTCTCAGATTTTAGGGCCCTTCGATGGCTAGGCGCAGCGGGAACCTGAACGACCACCGAATGACCGGAACGGTGATGTTCTTCTGTTCAGCCATGAGGAAGCACTAATGGATATATTTCAACAGAATCCATTCCGCAGTGCCATGCAGTCAGCTCTTCAGCGAGTCTTTCGCTCGGACAACCCTTCAACACGGACTAGATGCGGTATAGATAGGATACAAAGCATGATCCACTGTACACTCGGTATCATATTCAAGCTGTAACTGAAATCTCCATGATGAATCAATTGCTGGGATACGATCATCGCAGTACTAAGGTCTGCAAGTGTTGATTTCAGTAAGTGCGAGGAACGGAAATAACATGGAAGAGACTCACTCCTCTCGGCACTTTCGCCAGTGTCGTCCATGTGCCATACGGCTCAAATCAAACTCAGGGCCTCCTCTGGGCATCACTAATGCAGTCCTAGAATTATAGAAAGAATGTCGGGAGGCGGGCGGTACCCAGAATAACAGCCGATGCTTGGGCCCTACCACCCATCCATCGTCACCAATCAGTGACAAGGGGGTGGAACTACGGTCGTCATGGGATTCTTCCTCCATTAACTCAGAAGTGTCACACAGCGCATGTATGGAGTAGGGCGAGAAGCAAATGAAGTGACTGTTTGAGAATGTTGAATGATCTGACTCGGCATACTGTTCCAATAGCTGCTTTGTCGCTGCATCCCACAGCCGAACAGTCTTATCCGTTGAACCAGTGACAATACGAGTTCCATCCGGCGAGAACGAGACTGATTGAACTGAACCAATGTGCCCACGCAAGGGATCACCAACTGGCTGCCCCGTCGCCGCATCCCACAGCCGAGCAGTCTCATCCCTTGAACCTGTGATGATGCAAGTCCCATCCGGCGAGAACGAGACTGATTTAACTGAATCAGTGTGCCCCCGCAAGGGCTCACCAACTGGCTGCCCCATCGCTGCATCCCACAGCCGAACACTCCCATCCCAGGAACCAGTGACAATACGAGTTCCATCCGGCGAGAACGAGACGGATTGAACTGAATCAGTGTGCCCCCGCAAGGGCGCACCGACTGGCTGCCCCGTTGCTGCATCCCACAGCCGAACAGTATGATCCCTTGAACCAGTGACAATGCGAGTTCCATCCGGCGAGAACGAGACTGATTCAACTGGACCAGTGTGCCCCCGCAAGGGCTCACCGACTGGCTGCCCCGTTGCTGCATCCCACAGACGAACAGTGTGATCCGCCGACCCAGTAATGATGCGAGTTCCATCTGACGAGAACGAGACTGATTCAACTGAAGCAATGTGCCCCAGCAAGAGCTCACCAACTGGCTTCCCTGTCGCTGCATCCCACAGCCGAACAGTCCCATCCCAGGAACCAGAGACGATGCGAGTTCCATCCGACGAGAACGAGACTGATTCAACTGAATCAGTGTGCCCCCTGAGCACGGTCTGAACAGCCGGCCAGTTCATCTCACGTCCAGATACTGCACGAAGAGTATTCGGAAACCGTGCAGAAAGCATTCTCGATAGCGGAGAATTGACAGGTGAGAATGGGAGTGCTGATACATACAAATGCGGTGTGCTGTGTAAAATGATGCCGCCGAAGACTTGAATAAACCTCTGTACGTCCATTGCAGTCGACGAGATATCTGTAAATTCGGAATGGCCCTGTAGTTGTGCGTGAGCGCTTTATCTGGCACTCAGTAGACATGTACTCACCTTCAGCCACCGGGGAATGAGTGAAAGGGCGGGAACTGCACCGCTGAGTGCATTGATGAGGGCAAGTGACTCGAGCCAGAAAAATAGCCGCTCGTGGTCGAAGAATGATTTCACTTCTTTCGCGAGCTCCTTATTGAAGACTGTGGTTTGTACGTGCGAAATCCAAAATCGAGATGAATAGGACAGATGTGGGGGAATACGTGTTGCAACTCGTTCCTGTAGCCCGGGATCTTCGCAATTAGGAAGATACGAAGACGTTAAATCACAGATATTGAAGCGAAGACCGTGTTCCATCACTCGAAGTGACGCGAATGCAAGCTTGTGTTGTGCCTTCGACACGTCGATGAAAAACTCTTTACTGTGCTGTTGGTCCATCAGGAAATCGCGGAAGGATGCGTGAAGGGGTCGGATTGGGGAATTTGGGTTGGTGGTCCCGCTGAGGAGGGAACCCATGCATTTTACCATGAGCCCCACGTCGTAATGATCCTCTCGGCTTGGAAAACGGAGCCTCATGGCATTCAGGGAAGCTAAAGGAAGGGGTTCAGCTGTGCCTAGAATTTGTTCCATCACAGAACGAAATCTCGCTAGCACCTTCGAATGCAGTTTCTGCGAATGCTGGACATTTGTAGACATATCCCTGTGCATGATATCTGTCAAAATGAGGCGATACATGTCGTGCAACAGCATGCTTCTCTCAGCAGGATCGCGTGACACCACAGCATCGTAGCAATCCATCGGAGATAATCCAGGATGGGATTCTTTGATGTATCCACAGGCAAGACGCGCCCACTCGAAAAGTCCGTCAGCTTTCTCAGCAAGGACCGCAAACTCTCTGTCCTGAAAATCCGACCCTTCCAACTCCTTGGATATGTAAGCTTTGATGTCGCGCATTGCGAATGCGGGTGGAATATCATCCATCGACATCTGTCGAATATGCTGGACACCGTGAAACTCCTCATTGATGTCACTGAGCGGGCGAGAGGTAACTATGAAGCGGAAGTTGCCTGGGAGGTCTGTGATTTTGGGAACTGCAGAGTCGCGATGTTTACCAGCTAGAATGCGCAGGAGGTCTTTCCGTGTCTCTACTCCACCGCTCTCGTCCAGTGCATCGATCATGATCACGATGGGTCCTACAGTTGACCCAGATGACTTCCCCAGTGGTTCGATAAGAAGCTTCTGCCACTGCTGGATGATATCCGCTGTATTCTTGAGCGAACTCGCGGCATGGACTGCACCTGCCAATGCCCGCCTCATTTCCGGGTCACGGTCAGCTAGGTCGCGCGCGATCGTAGAAAAGATCTTTTCATGCCGACGATCTGCTTCCCGCTGGCGGTCAAAAGAGTAACATGAACCAAGCCCTCCCACGTCGTTGAACCACTTAGCAACGGTGTGAGCGATGGCCGATTTCCCCTTGCCTGCAGGGCCAGATAGCCACAGCACGCGTGGAACGTTGTCCCCGGTGCTGGTGACCCATTCCGTGATCTCGGAAAGGATTTCTTTGCGTGTCCCTTGGAGGCATTGTTTCCTGGTATCTAGTCCTGCGGCCGCTGCATAATTCATGCCGCTGAGGTCCAGTATTTCTCCTGGAAAGGTATGAATATATGTCAAGTCACAAGGACGTCCAAACACTTACCTGCACGGTGGATGTGTATGGCTACGTCGTGAGCAACTTGGTCCCGGAAGTTTTGCATGAGCGTATCCAACACGTCACTGTACTGTTGAATCGTATTGTTCGTTTCGGAGACGACGTTCTTTCCGAGTCTCTTCCCTGTGATGATGGTAGAAGCTTGAGACTATGCAAAGCGCTACAGTTTGTAAGACTCACAAAAGTTCTTGGTCTCTGAATAGTTGTTGATAAAATGGGCGCATTCACGGGTCTGCTGAGATATCTGTCCAAGGACAATGCGCATCGACGATATTTGGCGAAGCATCTCTTCTTGCGTTATGAAGCTGTACACTTGACACAACTTCTCAAGAAGTTTGAGTACCGCGTCGTCGCGATCCACTTGAGCTAGAATGATCTGCATATGGTTGCTGAGCGGGAGTTAGGAATGAGATAAAAAGTAAACATACTTTGGATGCACAAGACAACATGCCCAGTGCCATCTTCGCATATGGATGTACCTGTGCAACGAATTTAGTTCAGTTTTGATCAAAAGGAAGGCCCATACATCCGTGATCTTCTCAATAACAGCGTCAAATATCCTGAGGGATTGGAGATATGTGCCCTGGAACTTGTCTGCAGTAATGAGATTCTCTTGTGCAGATTGGCCAGCAGATGCCACAGTTATCACAGGTCTCGAAAGTGGATACATGCGCCTCACAGCCTCTTGTGCATCACGAAGTGCTGACTGGGGATCAACCCCCACTTCCACACCAGACGGAGCAGCCGGAACCTGCACGAAAACTTAGAGAGAGCACAAATAAATGGCAAGTTTGAGAACCTACCTCGATCGCTGGGGTCGATGAAGCACGTTCATAGACGTTATTCGGGGGAACGGGACTGCGGCTGCGGGAATCCTTCGAGCGCTTTCGTGCAATCTTAGCCATATTCCAGGACACTCAGTACGCATGCTCATGGACTCACAGAGGGTCTGAGCTTGTTCACACCGTCCTGGAACCTCCCTAGAAATCGACCAACTTTGCTACGGGGTCGGTGCTAGATGAAGGATACGTCGATTTCAGTGATTTGGAGTGGGATGAACCAAGTAATCCTCAAGAGTCACGTACCGAGCTTGCACCAGCTTTTGCTTCGCCAGATGTGTGAGTTTCTTGGGCCGAAACTCTTGATGGTTTGCCTTTCCTCATGGTTGTGAATAGCAGTCGACGATGTGAATCAGTTTGTAGCGAAGCAAGATAAGGAATGGTTCCCACATCATTTGCCTTGGGGTTTTATTTGCTGCCGCGGCAGTGTTGAGTCTTGACAGTGAGCGCTGAACGATATATACGCGTTGAATCCCAAGATACAGCCGCAAATCAACTTAGCTTTAAGTGCAGAACGAGCCTTGACAATGACCCACAATTGATTGCAGGCAAGTCACGGTGTATGTATCTCCTTGAATATTGACAAAGTAGTCTCTGACCTTAAAGTCAAGTTACCTGAGTAACGCAGTTAATCGACGTTAATGTTCTGACCTATCGAGGTTCGGCGGCAGGCACGTGTACGTACTACTACTACTACTAGTAGTATTCGCTGTTACCGATTTATCACTTCTAAGTTCCGAGGGTCAGGTGACGCGGCACTGTCACAAATCATACTAGGGCCCCGTTGTTCAAACGTTCGAACACCATCTTGCGATATTGATCAGCATTTGAACGCCCACCTGCGTACAGCGCTTGTCCTCAACGTTCGTACTGCCCGGGTATGTATCAGTGATCTAATGATTGTTTTAAGACGCCGTGTGAAGTGTTGTCTAACCGTGTCAGACCTCGTCTCCACCTTTTTGAGCCCTATGCAGCCTCTGTAAGCACCGTGTCAAGCCTCAACCGTGTCGTGTTGAGCCTCATTCAAGCTGCGTCAAGTACGACAAGTTTTCTCCAACATCTTCGCAGTCTCGGTAGCATGATGTCAACCTCCAGACTTACCTATGTCGCGTCAAGCCCCACCCTGCGCATCAGCACTTCACCTGTCTGTCTGGTTTAACATACACCCCATCCCAAGGTATCATCCAAAAAGTTTCAAACGCGACAGTGACTGTCTTTACTTCTGCCCTCGACACCACCCAAACCCAAACAAAAGGCACCGTCCTCAAAATGTCACGGTGGACGAAATAATCAATTTCACCTGCGGCGAGGAATTTGAAGATTCGAATCATATTCTCAGTTCGTGGCTGCAATGGGTTGGAACAGAGCTAAGCTGGTTATGCCACATGTCATAGTGATCGTCTGAGTTTTTTTTTTTTGCCATTTTCCCGCATTGATGGTACGCTCACCCATGTAGGAGAGTTATGTTTCCCCTCGCGGAAATACAAGGCTTCCTATGGACAAAACAACTATCAGGGCACCGTTGCGAGGGTGGCTCTCATTTTATTCATGGCACCCAGCTGCGCTAGTTCTGCGTCGATGTTGCATACGTCGCACTTTTTTAGATGAGTATGTTTCCGAGTCGCAATAGTTGTGCGTTGAAACATTGATGGGTGTCCTATGATTGAGGTACTATTACTGGCAGTCGCCGCTGAGGCGGAAGCTATTGTACAAGAGATATTGATAGTACACCCGCAGGATTTAGCATATGTAAGCCTTACTCCCCACACGAATCCACATCCACATGATTTTAATCAAAGCGCATTCCCCCATCGATCGTGATCTGCACAATTGTCAGTCTTCATGCGTGAGCTCTCAGAGTAGCACTTACACTTTGTCCTGTTGGTAATGCCAGTAGCATCAAGACAGACAGCGAGAAAATTTCTGTAATGCTTACCTGTGATAAAATGAGATTCTGCGGAGGCGATGTAAGAGACCAGTCCCGCAACGTCGTCGGGACTCCCCATATACCCAAGACACATGCTCTTCTTAATCTATGGAGATACGCTTGAGCGAAGTCATGAGACTAGCCTTACGGTCTTATCTTACCTTTTCGAAATAACTATCAGGGTCAGATGATCCTGTCAGCTTCATGCTTGCCTCACTCAGGCCGTTGACTTTGACGCTTAGCTTGCATCACGAAATATTGATTTAAGGCTGTACTCACTCATGTCAGTCATGATTACTCCTGGAGCATAGGCATTTACGGTGATACCGTGTCGTCCAAGTTCGATGGCTGTCATATGATCACTTGTCAGAATCGCTGGAACCGTAGACAGACGCCATACCAGCAGACTGTGTAATGCCTCGGACAGCAAACTTGGAAGCACAGTATGCGCTAAGGTATTCACCACCTGAACAAAGAAAAAATTCACGGTGTGTTGGATTAGAAAATACGGATGGACATGCGCACCACTTTTCCCTGCTACGGAGCTGGCACCAATGATGCGTCGACCTCGTTTGTTGGTCTCATTCAATGCAATCATTTTTTGAGCAGCGTATTTGTAGCTTAAGAACACGCCAGTAACATTGACGGCAAAGATCTTCTCCCAGTCTGCCAATGTAGCTAGTCGAGCGAAATCAGTACAATGCTGTAGATTCTGCAAAGTCGCATTTCTCACTTTCAACCAATGATGCGGCTACAAGGATACCGGCGTTTGCGACCATCTCGAAGTTGTGCCAATTATAAGAACAATTCAAAGCTTGGGTAGATAGTAAACTCACAACATCCAGACCGCCAAGGTTAGTCACGGCGTCGTCCATCATGTTGCGAACATCATCCTCGACTGTGACATCTGCAAGAAGCACGCAGACTGTTCGTCCTGCATAAGTACCCCTTATCTCCCGAGCGACCTCCTCAAGGTTATACTTGTTGGAAGGGATATCACTGAGTCCGATGTCGAAGCCATCGGCAGCTAGCCGAAGAGAAATTGCACGGCCAATGCCTTGGCCGGCGCCGGTGATCAGAGCAACACCTTTAGACATGATAGCCAGTGGTGTAAGTCAGTGCTGAGAATCGCGTCTACAGCCTGAGATTATAACTGTAAGATCTGATGAGTGCCTGTCTGCGGTCACAGCGCGACCTCGAGCACGTCAAAAATAGTACTCATTGATAAAGTTCAACTTCAAGGCGGGCTTCGTGCAAAGATCTACCGTTAACGTTAGCCTCAACCACGTGCGAGTCACAGTCTACCGCCGGACTATGATAGACTCCAGCTTTGACACATGACCTGGAGTTCTTGACGGATATCAATGATACATTCACATCAGGGTCTCAAATGCCCGTTTGTTGAACGAAACAAGTTCGAATTTAGTCGTCGTTATCCGTCTTGACTTGACTAACCCGTAATGTAGATACCAAGTGAGATATCATTTCGTATTCGGCTAATGACTGGTTCCAGGAGAATCCAGGTCCTATCTCTGTCCTACCCCATTCAAAATCCTTGATCAGGATCCGTAAAGAACGTCGAAAAATCAGGAATCTGTGGGGGATACCGTCCGTGGCCAGTGGTGTGAGTTTCCAACGCTCGGGTGAAGTGTTTGCGTGAAACAGGGAGCTCGTTGGTTGGGCTTGCAGCAGTAAGAGTTTGTGGGGATACGAGGAGAACGACATCTCTTGTAGTGGTTGGGGTGATTGTGCGGGTTTCGGGAGGACAACAGTGGCAGACGTACTGCTAGGACAGCCCACCACAAACGATTTTATGAGCGTATATATATTGAAAGGATAAGTAATAGGATATATAGTCAAGCGGGAACAGCATTAAGGTGCAAGGACATTTACGAACTTTCAGAAACCAAGCGAGTTAGCAGCTGCAGCGGATGGGAAAATTGGGAATAAATCGGGATAAGTCTTGGACAAGTCACCATCTCTGCTTCGAAACACCATCATCAGGGAAAAGCTCCCATGCGAAATTTGCAGAATTACTTGGTTTTAGTCAACTTTCTCAACTTTATCACATATTATTACAGAAAGATACATATTCACGGAAAATATGGATGCATATTTACCTACATCGAAGTAAGTATATACAATACATGTCTTTTAAGGCATTTTAAAAAAAACAAGGGGGAAGCCTATAAACATCTAAGCTCGTCGATTTTGCGGGAACAGCTGCTCGCCACATCACGAACTCACTGTTTTTCATTGCTGGCTGTGTGTACTGAGTCGAGTGTTTCAGTTGCACAACATCGAAGTTTGTCACACTCACATTGCGGCGCCATATGACAAAATCTGCATGCTGCAAGACTATGGCGCTGGATCTGTTCAACTATTCTGCGCACGTAAAATTCACACACATACAGATGACACACACACCAGTCACTTGAGGGTGCAGGCGATGCTTGAGGTGGCTAGAGAGCAAGCAAGCAAAGTCAGTATGCGGACCCTCACTCACAGCCGATAAGCTCGTTGGAGAACATAAGACCAGGCATGAGACCGTGTTCCTTGAGCCAGAATATGGACACAAAGGGACTCAGAGCCCAAGAATATGCCTTCCACAGCAGTGAATGCGACCAAGCGTGACCTGGAACTCGTTGGAGAAATGTTCAATGAGGTTTTCATTGACAATGCCGCTCTGTCGGATGTAGCGAAGAAGGCGAGGATGTGTGAGGCAAAGCGATGCTTGTTGCCATTGAGACGCTTGTGTTTGTACACGTTTGAAATGTTCTGAAGTCCAACATTTGCACTTGTTTGTTTACTTCCCACATGCACTCACATGACTTTTGGTTCGAACTTCAACTTTCAAATTTCAACGTTCAACCACAACCAAACCATGAGCATCCACCAACCTTGGCCTTGTCGAACGTCTCCTTACAACGCATCCGTCCACGCACGTCTCTTTACAATGCATCCGTTCACGCCCAATGATCCACTCATCCGTGTCATCAAATAGGAAGTTAGTGTGTTCATTGTCGAGCTCGAGCCTTGCAGACTAACAATATCATATCACTTCTGTTGTCAGGATGTGAGTGTGCTCACCCTTCGTCAACACTAGTCAGTGTCTTGATCCTCTGGCGATTTTGAGGTTTGCTAACCACAGAAATCACTTTTCTGTTAAAGCTAGTCAGTGTGGCCATCCTTCAACGTTCAACCTCGAGCCTTGCTGACCGGAGCAATTGTTGTTATGGTGTAAGTGTATTCCTCTGTTGATGTCAAGCCTTGCTAACTGCTCCTTCGTGTCTAGTGATTTTTTTCATCTGTTGCTGCTATCCGCTCCTTTGTGTTCATTGTGATCTCCCCGTTCATTAGTAGTTATGTAGTATTGTGTATTGAGTCTGAATGACAATATAATTTGTTTCACCTTAGTCATTGTGATATCGCTTCTCAAGGAGGATCATCTATTATGAAGGTTTATTAATAATGCTGCACACTTTATTGCACTTTTGCCCACTTTATTCGAACGAAGGCGTCAGGGGGCTGTTGGTTAGTTCATAAATGTCACTAATGTGAAACATGATGATAAAACACAATAAAACTCGATAAAACACCATCATTTACACAAATTTGTCCCATTTCCCGGAAGAGGTTTTTCCTGATGGGCCATGTTCAATGTCCAAACATTCAAACATCATCTTGCGATATTGATCTACATTTGAATGTCCATCTACGTGCAGGCCCTGGAGTAGTGAAATATACCTCTCGCCACATTTACAGCGCTTGTGTTCTGCGTTCGTACTGCTCGGGTATGTATTAATTAGTCGTGTGCATTCTATGTTATCTTACGGTGGTCTAGTGATCGTTTTCAGACGCTGTGTGAAGTGTTGTCTGACCGTGTCAAACCTCGTTTCCACCTTGTTGAGCCCTATGCAGCCTCTGTAAGCACCGTTTCGAGCCTCATTCAAGCTGCGTCAAGTACGACAAGTCTTCTCCAACATCTTCGCAACCTTGGTACCATGATGTCAACCTTCAGACTTACCTATGCCGCGTCAAGCCCCCCCCCCTTCCTGTAATGATGTGGTACGCTCACCCATTCATGCAGAGGAGAGTTATATTTCCCTTCACGGAAATACAAGGCTTCCTATGAAGAAAAAAAAAAACATCAGGGTATCGTTGCGAGGGGTGGCTCTCATTTTACTCATGACCCAGCCGCGCTAGTTCTGCGTCGATGTTGCATACAGTCGCACTTTTTTTAGGTGAGTATGTTTCCGAGTCGCAGTAGTTTGGCGTTGAAACATTGATGGGTGTCCTATGATTGAGGAACTATTACTGGCAGTCGCCACTGAGGCGGAGATGGAAGGTTATCAATGTACAGGAGATGATACACCCGCGGGATTTAGCATATGTAAGCCTTACTCCCCACACGAACCCGCATGATTTTAATCAAAGTAGATTCCCCCATCGATCGTGATCTGCGCAATTGTAAGTCTTCATACACGAGCTCTCAGAGTAGTACCTACACTTTGTCCTGTTGGTAATGCCAGTAGCATCAAGACAGACAGCGAGAAAATTTATGTAATGCTTACCTGTGATAAAATGAGATTCTGCGGAGGCAATGTAAGAGACCAGTCCCGCAACGTCGTCTGGAGTCCCCATATACCCAACACACATCTTCTTTTTAGTCTATGGAGATACGCTTGAGCGAAGTCATGAGACTAGCCTTACGGTCTTATCCTACCTTTTCGAAGTCAGATGGTCCTGTCAGCTTCATGCTTGCCTCTTTCAGGCCTTTGTCTTTGACTCTCAGCTTGCATCACGGGATATCTGATTTATGGCTTTACTCACTCATGGAAGTTATGATTGGTCCTGGAGCATAGGCATTTACGGTGATACCGTGGCGTCCAAGTTCGATGGCTGTCATATGATCACTTGTCAGAATCGCTGGAACCGTAGACAGACGCCATACCAGCAGACTGTGTAATGCCTCGGACAGCAAACTTGGAAGCACAGTATGCGCTAAGGTATTCACCACCTGAACAAAGAAAGAATTCACGGTGTTAAATTAGAAACTACGGATGGACGTGCGCACCTCTTTTCCCTGCTACGGAGCTGGCACCAATGATGCGTCGACCTCGTTTGTTGGTCTCATTCAATGCAATCATTTTTTGAGCGGCGTATTTGTAGCTTAAGAACACGCCAGTAACATTGACAGCAAAGACCTTCTCCCAGTCTGCCAATGTAGCTAGTCGAGCGCAATCAGTACAAGCCGCAGATTCTGCGAAGTCGCATTTCTCACTTTCAACCAATGGTGCAGTTACAAGGATACCGGCGTTTGCGACCATCTCGAAGTGATGTCAATTACGAGAACAATTCAAAGCTTGGGTAGATAGTAAACTCACGACATCCAGACCGCTGAGGGTAGTCACGGCGTCGTCCACCATGTTACGAACATCATCCTCGACTGTGACATCTGCAAGAAGCACGCAGACTTTTCGTCCTGCGTAAGTACCCCTTATCTCCCGAGCGACCTCCTCAAGGTTATACTTGTTGGAAGGGATATCACTGAGTCCGATGTCGAAGCCATCGGCAGCTAGCCGAAGAGAAATTGCACGGCCAATGCCTTGGCCGGCGCCAGTAATCAGAGCAACACCTTTAGACATGATGGCCAGTGGTGTAGGTCAGTGCTGAGAATCATGTCTACAGCCTGAGATTATAACTGTAAGATCTGATGAGTGCCTGTCTAGTCACAGTCTACCAGACTATGACAGACTCCAGCTGTGACGCAGAACCCTGGCGATCTTGATCAACCGATACTAATTATACATTCACACCAGGATCTCGAATGATATCCGTTGAACGAAACAAGCTCGAATTTAGCGGGCAGTCATCCGTCTTGACCCGACTAACCCGTTATGTGGAGATCAAGTGAGATATCGTTTCGTAGTTGGCTAACGACTGGTTCCAGGTCCTGTCTCTGTCCCACCCCATTTGAAATCCTTGATCAGGATCCGTAAAGAACGACGAAAAGTCGGGAATCTTTGAGAGATACCGTCCGTGGCCAGTGGTGTGAGTTTCCAACGCTCGGCTGAAGTGTTCGAGTGAAGTAGGGAGCACCGAGTCGTTTGTTGGGCTTGCACTACCACAAACGATTTTAAATGAGCGTGCATATATTGAAAGGATAAGAAATAGAAAAACAGCATTGGCACGAGGACATTTACGAACCACGGCTGAGAGAATCTTCAGAACAAGAATCAAAGCGAGTTAGCAGCTGCAGCGGACGGGAAATTTGGGAATAAATCGGGACAAGTCACCATCTCTGCTTCGAAACACCTTCAAGTCCTTGAACCATGCAGCCAACTTCATCATAACTCGTGAGTGGTAGTGAGTCTCCCCGGGGTGTTTTGCGTTAATTGCAGGGGTTTTCCGACGTTATACGTGGCTATTCAATAACATAGTCTGTTGTTTTGCTGTTGTTTGTCTCTCGCATCAAGCTAGATCACGTGCTCTTATTCAAATAAATAGGTGTCCAAGACCGCAGTCTAATCCGAATTCCAACATAAACATGATCATGATCATCAGGTGTATGTGGTAAGGTATGCATCTAACTTAACAAAGCCATATCAATTTTTTCTTATCTCAAAGCTGCTGCTTGTTCTCCGGCGCGAAGGGCCAGTCCGAGTAGCCCGCCGCTTCCAGATTACCGGGTATGTACCACGTTTTTGGGTCACCCGCCGTGAGCGGGAGGTCCTTTAGCAGGCGGAATGGAAGATCGGGCTGAAGAAAGGGGGAACATGTTAATTTCCAGCTTCCTCCAAATCTGGGAATTTTTAAGAAATATGACTCACGTTTGGCATGAACAGCCTCCCGAATCCAATAAGGCCACCTTTGTTGTCTGCCGTCTCAATGGCGCTCTCCCGGGTATGCCCATTCGTGCTGATGAAGGGGCTTCCCTCAATCCCTTTCCAGAAATCACGGAGGAAATCGCTGTTGATTCCAGCAGCCCTTTCCTCAGGCGTTGGCTCTACGACGTGTAGGTACGCGAGTTTGTGCTTGCGGAGCTTCTCGACGAGGTAGGCGAACTGCGGGTTTGGGTCCGCCATGCCCATAGCTGCACCAGTAATCAGCTAAATGAAGATCGGTAGGATTCGACGATATACGCACCGCTGGCTTTGCCCCATGGACTAATTCGGAACGCCGTTCTCTCAGCACCAACAGCCTCTACGACGGCATCTGTTACTTCGAGCGCAAACCTTGCGCGGTTCTCGATGCTTCCGCCATATTCATCTGTGCGGTTGTTTGAGATGTCTTGGATGAACTGGTCAATCAAGTGGCCATTCGCGCCCTGAATTTCAACACCATCAAAGCCAGCGCGAATGGCGTTTTTGGCGGCTGCGGCGTACGTGGCAACGTATTCCTTGATTTCATCCTTAGTGAGTACATGTAGCACTTCAGTTTCTGGCCTTCCCGGGAGGGGAATGTTTGCGGCGCCAACGAGGGGACTGTTGTTCTCTTTGGCGAGAACGGCTGCTTGTGCAGCGCGGCCGAGTGCCCAGAGTTGAAGGAAGATGAAAGATCCCTTCTCGTGGACTGCGTCCGTTACCTGTAATCCAGGACGTACGTCAGTTGTGAGCTGAATGATTCATTTAGTAAGATGAAACCTACCTTCTTCCATCCTTCTACGTGAGCATCAGTGTATATCCCAGGGACATTGCCATAACCGCTAGCTCCCTGGGATATAAAAGTGGACTCTGTGACAAGAAGAGTGCCAGGGGTCGACCCTCGCTGAGAGTAGTACGCTACTGCGTGTGGGCCTGGGACGTGATCTGCATGTGCGCGTAGACGGGTAAGTGGGGAAAGGACAACGCGGTGCTGCAAGTCCAGGTTGCCTACGCGGATGGGGGAGAATAGGGCGGAGTTTGAGGAAGCCATGATGATCTAATGCAAACCAGGTATGAGATGCTTGGAATGGTATTTGGATTGTGGGATTCCACACAATGCACTTTATAGCGAACTTTTCATTTAGCAACAGACAGAACAACTTACAACAAATAGATTCCCCAGGACATCCGGAGATTATGAGATACTCTGCGGTGCATGACTGCGAGATCGGGATATGCTTAGGCTGACTGATTCTGAGCGCTTAGATGGCGATGGCGGAAGAACTGATCATAAGTGACGATATGTCATCCATCAATTACAAATTTGAAGTACGCAGCATTTTTAATCAAGGGGGAAGTTGCCGACGTCGTAATCACCCTGCATGTGAGACGATGGAGAGAAGAAGGTGATCGCGAGTGCTTTGAGCAGATACTCCTCCGCAGTAATTGAGGGTTTTCCCACAAAAGACCATCAGCTTGATATCCAGCAAAGGGATATGCGGAGGTTCGAGACCAGCGCTTGTGCCCTCTTTTCAGACCAGCGTCATTTGGGCGCGATACCAGGAGCAAGACATGCCATTAAATCGAAGGAACAACAACCTGACACGTGTAAGTATAGCTATAGGTCACAGTTTGGCTCAAACCTTGCAAACAAGGCAACCTGGTTACCATCTGATTTCAGGTCCTATCTGTGTCCTACTAGGCTACCCCACAAGTAGCCGCCGCAGGCAGACAGATAGAAGCCGTTCCTTTGTCACCTGGTTTGCACCCGGTCCAACAGTTCCGTCGTAACTGTATTGGAGACGAGTTCGCCTTACGCGTAATTTTGGTATCAAAATCGTCTTCCACTGAAGTCAGGCAGTTCCGCGAAGTCAGGAAGTAGACCGTCATCTGTAGTCTGGTGTGAGTTTCCAACGCTCAGGTAGAGCGTTTGAGTGAAGCAGAGAGCTCGTGGCAGGAAGACAGCAGATGTGAAATGATGTCATCATGTGACCGTTCGCTTTGTCACCACGCCAAACAGAAAACAAACCATTAACGTTAGGACGAACGAGTTCAACGTTGGACACGATGGCGACACACCGTTTTTCATTGCAACGCCAATCTAATAATATTGGCGTGCCACTTTCACTGATACTGACTGATCATTGCCGCTTCTTTAGCGCACTCCCCTCCGTACCTCCCCAGACTCCTTCCCTCCCCAAGGTCAAATTCAATATCGTGCCATAGTCTCTTGTTTGTCTCGCAGTCTCTAGTATTCTCCAGCCGCATTCATTGCTCGCATCAGTCTAAATAGATTACAAGCTCTTGTACAAATAAACAGGTATCAGAAGGGTATTAAATCTACAAACCCATGCTAGACTTTGCTTATCTGGTTCTGATCGTTCTCAGGCGAGAAGGGCCAGTCCGAGTAGCCTGCCGCTGTCAGATTACCGGGTATGTACCACGTTTTTTGGTCACCCTCCGCAAGCGCGATGTCCTTTAGCAGGCGGAATGGAAGATCGGGCTGAAGAAAAGTGGGATGTGTCAGTTTCCAGTTTCCTACAAATCTAGGAATAATAAAAATGACTCACGTTTGGCATAAACAGCCTCCCAAATCCAATGAGGCCACCTTTGTTGTCTGCCGTCTCAATTGCGCTCTCCCGGGTATGCCCGTTTGTGCTGATGAAGGTGCTCCCTTCAACCCCTTGCCAGATATCACGGAGGAAATCGCTGTTGATTCCAGCAGTCCTTTCCTCAGGCATTGGCTCTACGACGTGGAGGTACGCGAGGTTGTGCTTGCGAAGCTGCTCGACGACGTAGGAGAACTGGGGTTTTGGGTCCGCCATGCCCATACCTGCGCCAATAATCAGCTAAATGAAGATCAGTATCATTGGGCAATACACGTACCGACGACTTTGCCCCATGGACTCATTCGGAACCCCGTCCTCTCAGCACCAACAGCCTCTACGACGGCAGCTGTAACTTCGAGTGCAAACCTTGCGCGGTTCTCGATGCTTCCGCCATATTCATCCGTGCGGTGGTTTGTGACGTCTTGCATGAACTGGTCGATCAAGAAGCCATTCGCACCATGAACTTCAACACCATCGAAGCCAGCTCTAATGGCGTTTTTGGCGGCTGCGACGTAAGCGGCAACATACTCCTTGATTTCATCCGTGGTGAGTTCGCGTGGCACTTCTGCATCTGGTTTTCCCGCGAGTGGAATAGGTGAGACGCCAACGTAGGGACTGTTGTTCTCTGTGGCGAGAACAGCTGGATCTGCGAGGCGGCCGAGTGCCCAGAGTTGAAGGAAGATGAAAGATCCTTTCTCGTGGACTGCGTCCGTTACCTGTAATCCAGGACGTACGTCAGTTTTGAGCTGGATAATTCATTTAGTAAGATGAAACACACCTTCTTCCATCCTTCCAAGTGGGCGTCGGTGTATATTCCAGGGGCATGTCTATGACCGCCAGCTTTCTGGGATATGTAAGTGGCCTCTGTGACAAGAAGAGTGCCAGGGGTTGACCCTCGCTGAGAGTAGTACGCCGATGCGTGTGGGCTTGGGACGTGATCTGCGTGTGCGCGTAGACGGGTAAGTGGGGAAAGGACGACGCGGTGTTGCAAGTTCAGGTTGCCTACGCGGATGGGGGAGAAGAGGGCGGAGGTTAATGAAGACATGGTATGTGGGGAAGCAGCGTTCCACGCGATGCATTTTATAGATAACTTCCCCTCGACATGCTCACTAATGCTAGTAATTGGCTGACTGATTCTGCGCACTGAGCGCTGAGCAACAATCACCGAATTTCAGGGATGCTGTGAGCATCCCTGAGTTCAAAAAGTGGGACGATAATGAATATGGGCAAATGATGGTTATCATCATCAATTTCGTAGCACTGTGCACTGGGTGCGTAGTATGAAGCATGATGGTGTGCCTGGCTGTATATTAAGGTTCAAAGCTTATGTAAACTTAAACCATATATCCGGGATTTGCCATTTGCACCCTCAACCACAGTTCTAACTCGAACGTTGCAGCTCTGCACAGAGCCCTAGCGATCTTCACTGCCCAACGAAACAAGCTCTATTTTAGCAGGCATTTATGCGTCTCGACTCGAACCTTACAAACAAGAAGATCCAAGAAATACCGCCAGTAGCGTGGTGCGAATTTCCAACACTCAGATGGAGCGGGTGAAGCAGCTTCAAGCAGGTGGTTGGACTTGTAGTGGTCGAAGCGATTGTACCAGCTGCAGAATGTAACAGTTGACCTTATTTTTGAACTTCATTCACTTCGTATCGCGATTTGCCCACGCTAGACCGTCAGGACGAACGAGGAATTCACCGTTGGACGTGATGAGGGCAGGCTGTTTCTCGTTGCGAGTCTAACAGCTTGTGGCAATTCAGTGAACTAAAGATTCTTTGCCTTCTGATTCATGTACGTCTTACGTTCGTGGGCTCATTCAGCCTCATATAGAATGGATCGGCTTTCCTGCGCGCATCATTTGTATTGTTTGCACCATGGAATACACCGTGACCGGATTCCCCGTTTTGCCGTCGCTCTGAGATTTGCCACATGTTCCCTCCAATCTTAGTGTGCCACTTTTCGCTGATGCTGACTGACCATGTTTAGCACAGGCTTGGCCTCAGCGCTTAGTGCAATCGTACCAGTCTATGGCGCCTAACTGCCATCGCCAACGTGGAAATACACGTACAGCATGACCTGAATCCTTGGCAACTGCCTCTCCCCCTCTCACCTGAACTTCATCTGCAGTCCCCATATCCCTACGCCCCATCTGATCCTACCACTCATTCAGCTGGCCTCTGGTGTTGGCCTTGCTGACCGAACGCCCACTGCAGTCCATCGTAGACTGCGAGATTGCTTGCGACACGGATGCAGGCCATCATGCACGACTTGCCACATACTGCACACGCGAGAGGATCTACCCACCTGAACGATGCTTCCAGTCGACCATCCTGGCTATGCAACGGCTTCCACCAACCTCGCTGCCTTGAAGGCTTCATTCAAAAGAATCTTCAAGACATCGACTCGACTACTTCTTTCTTCTGTGATGCCCTTGTATTGCATCCGCAGGGCCATCCCGACCACGCATTATCCCTCTATTGTCTCCTTGAAGCATTGATCTGGCGCTACAGCAAGGAACACGCCACCGTCTATATCCACGGATACACGGACGTGAGCGGGAGGTATGCCTATGAGTCCCAGAAATACATCCGCAGGCACCCATTTCTGCTTAACCTGGTCATTCATGGTTCTCAGATTCCATGACCAACCGAGATCAACAGCTTTGTTTCATGCCACTGCTCTATTTGCTTTGGGTACCTATGTTCGCCTTGCTGCTGCTATCCCGTTGTCTCAGTTTTGTTCACTGGTGTGCATCTCCACTGCATCATTGAAAATGTGACTAATAAAAAAAGCCTTATAGCACATTGTCAAGTCAAACTTGATCTTTTCCCAGTCACCACTGGCTGGCTTGTATATTTTTCCTTCATGAGATAACCGTATTTTTGTACAATACGTCTTTAAAGTCTCTTCCATGTACGACGAATTGTCGGTTTTCTAGTTGAGTGATAAAATTGATTGCGGACGCTCTGAACATTAAGCTAGAGGTCCCCAATTGCCTAAACTCACATTACAAGTGCCACCACCTGAATGCGAGTTGATATAATAGAGATACAATGAACATGATCAGCGATGTAAAGGAAACAGACCCATATATGAGACAACCGAAAGTTCTTTCATATCAGAATGAACGATCTCCATCTCCTCTGTGATGTGCACAGCCATGGGTTTTATGCTGGAGCCGGGGTCCCATACACCTCACCCTCGAAAGAGGCTGGTGATGTTGTCCCTTTCTTCAGTGGGCTGTTCAGTTGGGGGAGTTGCCACCTACGTTAAAGTGTACTTGCAGGATGATGAGGCAGAATGTAATCCCCTGAACAAATATCCTATGAATAGCTTGGGTCAAAGCCAAATAAACTCACCACAATCGGAGCGACAATGTCCAGCATGATATATAGGGCATTGGATTGGATGAAGAATGTTATGAGGAGCATGAAGATATTCGTGGCATAAAGAGCGCCGCTTTCGATGATGACGACAAAAACAGGTAAAAAAGCGCCCAAGCCTTCTGGCATGAAACGGCGAGTGCGATAGATGCGCCAAGCATTCAAAACTGCATCGATTTGGTCATTAGGAGCCTGCGAATCAGGTGAAATAGACACACAGGTACTGGCGACACAGAGAAGCAGGGTCAATGTATCAAATATGACAATACATTCATAGACCCCATTGGACATCAAAATGCTCTGGGAATGGGCAAGGGACCAGCTAACATAGTATCCAGTGGCTGCAAAATGGCTCCGGATAAGACTATGGTCGAATATGCACCTTTCGAGATACTCACCCACATTAACTAGGAGCACGATACAACCAGGAATGGAAATGAAGGGGCTCCTGTTGTTAAGCACATAACATCGCCAAACCTACAGCCCACTCAGAGGGGAGAGCGAACATGCCAAGAGGAGAAACTCACAACTACACCATCGGCGAGAATTGTTTGTATGTTGGAAAGTGCCGTTGACGCAACAAGCAATGGCGAAGCAAGGTTGGAATAGTAAATGTCTGCACTCGTATCCACCTTGAATATGAATGCCTCTAACGCTCGAACAAAATCGACGATCAGATGCTGAAAATGATGGCGTTGAGCTATTCCCCCAAGAGGTTTGACTAGTCGATGACTTACGGCCGTTGCAATGCAGAGTAACAAGCTTGCTACTGGGAGAAGTAGTTGCCGCTGAATGCCGGTTTTCTTGAGTAGGATGAACAGCGTTACCAAGTACAAAGTGAGAAATATGCCTGTTTGAGATGGTGAAGTTCGACACCATAACCTTTCCACCGGTCGGTAACGCACCATAAAAAAAGGCCTCGAAAAATAAAGCTAACAACGCAGCTTCATCAACAGGTATGCCCATGATTATGGTTGTGTCACAGGACCAGTTGAGCCAAAGTAAATAGTGGGAGTATCTTGATTTCTGTGCACGGAAACACAAACCAACGAGGTTCCTAGAAGGGTCAAGGCGAACCACCTGTGAAAAGATGAAGATAATATAGGTTTCGTAGTGGCAAGCTGTGTTAAGTCCACAGGATGGCTTCATAACCAATATGCAAAGAATTCTGATATCGGTATATTGTTTCCTATACAAAGCTTAGAATAACGTGGATGAAATTAACTGCCACTGTCCAACTAGTTCCGGTGTGGTCTGGTTCACTGGGCGTCGTGTGTAGCCATTTCATAACTGCTAAAACATGAGCAATATATCATCAATGAAATGATAGACTCGCGCGTACTGACTTAGTTGGCACACTGGGTAGTAGGAGCCGTCGCATGTGGGCACTAATGTATTCAACACTTGCCTGAGTAACCTACATCGCGAATCTGTGAAGTGTTGATGTAAATCGAGTGCTTGTCTTTGACAAATGACTCGCCTACTACTGATCAGAATGATGTCCCAACCCTCAACGATTTTTGACCGAAAAAAACATACTTGCCCATTGTGACAATGCTCTCTAGTTGGTGCTAGCTGTGAACTTAAACTTAATCATGATCATACTTCGGTGCTGACTCGGAAAAGCGCCAGCGCTGATCACGGGAAAAGTTAGGCTGTGCACGAGCGACTCGAATCCTGTATACGTATTGATGGCTGCCACAGTGGCAGGTTCTGGGTAGCCCAGGAATGGCAGCGCTGCGCACTGAGCGTTGGTGCCGAATCCCGATCAGTGAACCAGTGAGTTCTTGCTGGGGATTATGTTATACCACTGGATAACCCGAGAGGAAATTTATCTGAAGACCGTAAAGTGGGAGGTTGACCCGAGGTCCGATCCGAACATAGCGGAGTTGAATGAAAACTGCGCCACTATCACTGCGACTGCGACTGCTGCGGTGGCAGTGGTGCTCACAATCAGCAATACGTCCACATATCGACTTGGTTCTACCGCCGTCCCCTTTCAAGACTGGAAAGATCAACACTTCAATCGTACAGCATTAGCGCTTGCGCGAACGGAATTGTTTCCCGAGTCGAAGACAACGTACGGACGCGACCATAGCATAGAAGGTTGTGATGTCAGGAATTGGGGCGTAGCTTTGTGGGTACCCAGCCCAGCCTTTGGATACCCTGAAGCGGGGGTAGTCCTCCAGTATAATCAGTCTATCCATCTGGTGAGTGATCGCATGTGAAACGGCCATCCTGTCTGACTTTTTCTGCAGGCGTTCTATAGTGTTGTATCTACTACATGTATGGGAGGTCAATATAACACACCACAGCCGTCAGCCATGTGGGGATGACGGTTAGCCCGAAGTCCATCATGATTGTGGTTTTCAGACACAAAGTGTTCCAACATGACACTTTGGGTTGTCGAGCCGATATAATTTTTCGAGCGAAAATCTCGCCAGACCTTTGGCGATACACGTCAGTTACACCCATTCACCGATCAGACCCGCGAGTGGCTCGATCGCCCGAAGCGTGCTACGAACCATACAACCGCCATCCATTAATATTACTCACCCCTCCTCGGAACGAGCTGTTCAACGGCAATGATTCCACATGACACGCACTACTACTCACTACTTACCCGAATGCCTGCGAACTGTCGTTGATGATTAACTGAGGTTAACTCTGCCTCCAACATAACCATAGCTTCAATATCACCGTCTCCTCCTGGCGCCGTGATATACTTAATACCTCGAGCACTCGCGATAGCCCGCACAAAAGACATCCTCGTTCATGGACAACATCGAGTGCGGGATCCCGAGATTGCCAACTTAGCTTTGGTTGTAATATTAAATAGAAGCAATATTTTGCTCCCTTTTGCATTCTGAATTCGTTGGTTTTTGTCACCTGGTTCAACCTGATAATCAAGATTCAAGATGACCTACGATTGTGCTCAAAATACCAGATAAACAGGTTCTATTAGTGGACTGAAGCAGTTAACGGGTGCCCGATACTTCCGATAACTCCGACAACATTAGTTACATCGACCGGCATCTCAAGACCATCTGACTCGCTCATTACGATACTTATTTACGTTCCCCGAATATGTCCTCACATGAATAGTACTTAAGTGTAGCGTGTTATCGTCGACTACGTGGACGCCCGCTAGCACCTCTGTCTGCGATGGCGACTTTCGGCAAATCCTCCTTTGACACTGCCATCTATGCCACTTTCAGACCGACCTACCCTAGGTCCCTGTTTGACTTCATATTCCGGTACCACGAGCGCAATAAAGGTGCAAGATGGGATAGAGCAGTGGACCTTGGCTGTGGGACGGGTCAGTTCTAGTTGTACTCAATTTGAAGGAATTGAACTATGTTGATATGCTTTTGATGATTCGGGATTCCAGGTCAAGCAACGGTCGAGCTCACACCCTTCAAGCGCGTCACTGGTGTCGACCCAAGCTCTAAGATGATTGAAGTTGCTCAAAGTACCCTCGAGAAAGAGCCAGTGAGCACTGGTCAATATGAATACGTAGAGGCGAACGCAGAGAGTTTGCCATTCTTGGAGGATAGCAGTGTGGATCTAGTTATTGCTGGTGCGTATCTTGGACAGGAGAAACTCGATAGTACTGTTTTCATGATGTCTGTGTGGGTACAGCCCAGGCAGGTCATTGGTTCGATTGGAACAAAATGTGGCCTGAGCTCGCAAGGGTGCTGAGGAAAAATGGGAGCGCTGCGTTCTGGGTATGTATTCCTATCTCCGACTCGTTACTTTTTCAGTCACTCTGAACATTTCCTCAACGTAGATTTACTCCGAGTTCCGCTTCACCCGCTATCCGTCGCTCACACAGCATATAAACGCTTATGGCCAAGGAAAGGACCCACTGCACAACGTTGGCCCATACTGGCAGCAACCCGGCCGTTCAATTTTAGAGAACCACTTGGTTGAAGTGCCAGAAGGCAACGAAGTCGTACCCGGCGCGTTCAGTGATTTCGAGAGGGTCTATTTCACAGGTTTGTCTTGAACCCATCGTTACACAAAACTGCACTAATGAGTCGCAGGCGACCACTACCCATCTCTCCCTTCCCCACGCTCCGTGATCATGCGCAAGAAGATGACGTGGGATGACCTGCTATCGTATCTTAATACATGGAGCTCGTTGCACACGTTCCGTCAGAACAACCCTACGGATGCGGAAAACCCGCGTGGAGATGTTGCAGTGCGATTCTGGAAAGATCTCAAGGAGGGTGTCGAGCGGGAGGTTGGGAGACCTGTGGAAGGACATGATGAAATAGACGTTGAATGGCCGCTGGCGATGATAATGGTTAAGCGAGCGTAAGATGATATTGAGTGCTGGAGGGCGGTAGGTGTGTTCTTCGTTGGCAGCTTGCAGATAAAATCAACTCATTGAATGCAGTGCTCAAATAACGCACGGTCTTGAACGTTATTGGATCCTCCTTAGAGTTATCCACCTGGTTGCAATGAGACCCTCGCCTGAATTTGACGATGTTACCAACATGGCTATGTTAGCATGTTCAGATTTTTCCGACATTATTTCGCCACCTATGATCCAGTCGAGCGCAGACCCTCTCCTTTCAAGTGGTACGCACATCGCGAGATCCGCCCGTCGACCTTGTCAATGCTATTGCCAGCAGAGGAGACCATGAACAGTTCCGATTTGCGCCGAACAACGGAGGCAAGTCTATTTCACGTGCACGCAGTAACTGCGGCCCGCACCCCCAGAAGTCGGGGATGCACTTGATGTACTGACAACCTCATGCAGAATAATTGTATTTCGCATGCTTGAATGGGTCTTTTGAACATTCGAACATAATTTATCTTCGGGAATACACCTTGCGAACGCTCGCCCTTGGTTCACACAAGTTCACACATCGGTAAGTCCTTTATGCCAACTATCATGATGTGAAGACATAGTGCTGTCTTAGAAGACATAGTGCTGTCTTAGCAACCCAGGCTTTCTTCACTCCACTATTCACTATTGAGGGCACCTGCGCCCGAAAATACTGTTCCTTATCAGACGCTACAACGGTTGTGTTGACTTCGAGATCCGATCATGTGCAAACTATCCATGATGTGGCAGGGTCAGTTGACGCCAGGCTATGGGATCTCAGTGCAAGCAGGGTAATGGGGGTCCCGTCAGGAATGCGTGGCAAAGCTGTAGGTCTGTATAATTATTGGTTTTTACTCCGCAGTGCGCACGGGAAGGATCAACTGGCTTTCATTCAGTATGCCATAAATGCATCAGTTTGGGCACGAGTTCAGATTCGCATAGCGCGGACACGAATGACTGTCAGATGTTATTTCATGTCTTAAAACGCTGAAACTTATCGAGGCTTTGTATCTATATGCCTGTCACTTGCGTGATAAACACTGTGAGGTCAAAGTGGAAAGTGAGATATTGTATCTGAATACATAGTACTAGTACTGGTGAGCTTACGAAAAGTGGACCTTTGAACTTGGTTTCAAGCGGTCAAACTGGTGGTTTTTGACAGCTGCTTTCCCTTCCAATCTAGGTACTGAATCGTCAATTGCAAAGCATGTGTGTGCTGGATTTCCCAGTGATGCAGGCATCAATAGCGAAGAATATTTACAGTATATAAGCACAAATTTCGTGTCCACACGTCTGCATGCTATGTTGATGCGCGTTTTGTCTGTACCATTTAAACAATTCCGGTCATGCACTGTGCTGTCGCCGTGTCACAGTCAATTATACAAAGCGTTTTCAAGAGTGAGACGCGGTACAATTACGTCCACATTGATATATGGTATATGAATGTATCTATCTATACGTGTGATCAGACAAAACGCGCATCAACATAGCATGCAGACGTGGTGGATACGAACCGCCGGTTATTTGTGCTGATATATTGTAGACATATTCCACAACATTACGGTCATGTTTATATGCCAATGTACTCAAGATTTAGTAGATGCCTGGTATGAGCCGGTACCTGACTACTTTGGCCCAGTCCTCCCACTCGTCTCTGGAAATTGACTTCATGACTTCATCCTCATGACCAATCCTGCACACAAGACTTGTCACAGCAACGATTCTCTCCACCAGTAATGCCACCAACATTATTGTCAGTCCAGGGATACTATTCAAAACACCTGAGCGTCTAAGAAATGAGGACTGCGACGCGTACAACATCAGCATGCCGATGGACCGCAGGATAGTGCCTGCATATGATGGGTGGCGTACGACCGCGTATGGTCCACTCGTGACAAGCTTGTGCTCCTTGCGGACACTGAGCTTGAATGTGAAAAAACGACCAAGGGTGCGGAAACACCACCAGCGGAGGAATCCCCCCGCAACAATAAGTGCGGTGCCCATGAGTATATGGTAATTGATAGGCATATCCTGAATCCCTCGAAGCGGACCGACCACGAGTTGCATCACGCTTGGAAGCGTGCTAGGGTCTATCACGCGAGATGCAAGGACGGCGATTTCAGCTAAAGAAACAGCCCAGGAAACAATCTGGGGCATAGTTCCATCAAAGAGGAGCGTGGACAATCAATGAAAAAATACCTTTGCGAGCGGGAGCCCATATTTGACGTCTTGGATGATGATCCACTCAATGAGGGTTTGGTGAACGACCTCATTATTCAAAGGGTGGTTGGGGGGTGTGAGCGATATGTGCACCGCGATTGCAGATGAGAGGATAAGTGGTACTTTGAGGAGGGACATCTTGATAAAAACACTTAGCGGTTTCGACCTTTACAACTACTTTTATACGTGCATGCACATAAGCCGCAGTCACCAGCAGAAACATAAGCCAGAGGTACGGAGCGGAAATAGTTTGTGCCAGAGAAGCGAGAGATACGGATCAGAAGGAGGATGGTAGCAAGAAAGTCAATCAGCATCAAGAAAGCAAGGCAAGAAGTGATAGGGATATTGGCCGCATTGTGATAAGGGCTTACCCCGTGAGTGTGTTTGATCAGATGCGGATAATTGACCATTGCAGGCCAAAACCGATTGTCTGCCATAGTTAGCTGTCCATCTTTCTGCCATTAGGTCGAATCTGGAATGCAAGGATTACGTGGATGGCTGGTTTAGGCGTCCTCGGGGGGTGACGCTGGTAACATTTGGGCAGGCATTGATCGAAAGGTCTGGCAGCATCATGTTCGGACAGATGGGTTCTCACTGTTTCGTCAGCATTCACTTTTGCAGTACCGCCACCTCATCAACATTGGCGCTCCTGATGATATTTGTTTGTGCATCATGGCATTTGGTCAAATGCTACTCACAAATCAACGACTCGAGAAGCCCGTTTCCACTATCATTCTCAGAGCCGCGTATTGCTGGATAGGTGTATATTATCGATGAAGAAGCTGTGCGGCGCTCTAGTGAACTCTGCAAGACGCGCAGACGGACCTTGTTTGGCCCACTTGAAATGAGCTGGCGATATCAGACTCGCGGTGAACTGTAGTATGCCGCAGTGCGAAAGTCAGTAATGTCGGTGGAAAAAAAATCTCAGAGCGTGTGCGACCAAGAAGGAAATCAGATGAACCAGGCGCCATGTGCAACGTCAGCAGGCTTCGAATTTGACTTGCTCCAATGCCATATCACCTATATACTGTGGTTAGCATTTGTATTATCGTCGATCAGCGAAGATAACAAAGAATGCAAACTCTAGGATCACTGATAGGAAGCATTTGGCCTAGCGGATTTACGGATCTCACCCGTGCAAAAGGGCAGCTCGTCAGATAGCGGCTAAACCGCTACTTGAGTGTGGCCAACTACTCCATGAGGTAAGGAAAAAAACCGGCGGTTGACCTATACTTGTAGGCTATCTTACCTTAAGGTCTTAAGTTACAGCGAGTAGACTCGGAGAGTCTCTCCGCTGCGACAGATATTTGAGGAATTCCATGCCATCAAGAAGCCCTTCTGCACTGACTGGAAATGCTCGAGTCGAGCACCTGGCCATGATGTCGGAGACCGTTGAAGATTTGAACCTCTACCGTTTGTATCGTGTACGTGGCTCACGGTTGGGTATCAGTCTTCAGTTCTCAACAGAGCGGGCCGCCAGGAATTTTTGATCGCCGATCATCAGATATATATCGGAATATTAATAATATCTGGAAAATTTGTCGGAGATTGAGAAATTCTGATGCCGCTGGCGCTACTGCCACCTCCATTTTTTAGTTGAACGGCGCCCGACACAAGCAACCCCACTTACCCAACACAAGGCTCACCCGTTGATGCGTTCTCGTTTAGGTGCGATCTACTTGAAGACCTCAGTATCTTAATACTCTCGAGTCTTCCGAAGAGCTGCTCCAGAACCACGAGGGGAGGATAATCGGATTACGGATTCAAAACATTATTTTATCGCACCAGTGCATACTACTGTAGTAATGCTTCTTGGTTTGTACTTTCCATTTGGTGTAACTGTGCTGTACTTGCTAACTCACATAGCTTGGTCAATGAGAAGCTATAACCTTATCACGCTGGCCTCAATACCCACATTGAGTCTCGCTATCCTTGCAAACCAACGTTTATTCGATTAATCCGATGCGGGGACCACTATATTTTTTCTAATATCGAGCACGACCCAAGATCCAGAGGTGTTAAGAAAAGTATAAATCCCATCGGGAGTCGGCAAACCGGTGCGTAGTTTGAGGATAAGGCTGAAAATATCTGGTCATAGACGGTTGAAGACGACTAAGTCATTCCTCCTCTTCTATGACAGCATCTTGGTGTACAGGACGACTGAACTAGAGAATATATGTTAGCTACACAACCTGGCATCCCCGTCACATTGTGGCCGATGGGTAATACAGACGTAAGGAAAATCTACAACCCGTTCTGCTGACATTCAGGCTTCAGGTCGAAGCCTCACCCTATTCACGCAGCCCGATTTTGGACAAGTATAGCGGATTACGAATGTGAATGCATAAGAGGCGCAGCTCTGATTCCGCATCGAGCTTGAGAACACTGACGAGCGTGGCTTTCAGTTCCAGCTTCTCCGCGTCACAATCTGTGAATAAATAACCACGTTAATAGGGCGCATAACCATTACAGGTTCGGACAGTTATATTTCGAGCTGATGCCCGATGATAACATGTTGATCCAGTGGTAGCCATAGTAGGCAACCAGCCAGATGAACTCTGGTGCCCCACACATACGTCACCAAGCGACGAGCGTCCACATCGATATATCCATATATCATGCGTTGTACGCCTGCACGCTGTGACGCCGTGAGTGCTCAAAAGTACTTAATAGGGCGCATCGCACGTAGTATGTCTTTAGACGTCGGAGAGTAGCATGTTGCGGGTACTGGTATTCAACATCCTGAATGCCGGCGGCGGCGTGTAGCTGTGGATCATTGCCAGCATCCCTCCATCTCCAGAACGCCGAGTTCAACGGGCCCAGTTGGGGTTCAAGAAACTACCTCCTTCCCTCAAAAAGGTTCACATCACTGTCGCGGAAGACGCAGAGGCGAGTCACGGACACGAAATGCAGGATCATATCTCACACTCAAACATTCCCAGAACTTCATTGATTGTGGTTCAATCTGTGATGAGAAGTGGGAATGATCAGCTTCGGCATTGATCGACAATCACACTAGTCTCGTTGATCAGGCTGGATCCTCTCGCTTTCCGTATATATCTGGTTGTTGGTGTTTAGCATGATTTCCAGGTGAAGTCCCATCATTTTGCAGAACTTCCGCGAGGCAAGACCAGTTTTTCATTCTTTCGGTATCCCTCTGCCTTGTCGGATCACAGATCGACTTTCGTTTTGTGCGCGATACAGACTTCATCCTATTTATCCCTATCCTACATATGAGCCATCATTTTCTGCTGCGAGCGTGACGCCTTTTGTCGCTGATCCTCCAAGGTTCGAGCTGGCTTGCCCTCCAGCGGAACTTCTTCCATGATAATTTCCGGACACTCGTATTGCATCCAATGACCGATGCCCGTATTAGCAAAGATCCTGATTTTTATTCCCTCCACATCGCGAGGGAGTTTCTCCAAATCACAAGATGAGACTTCCTTTGGATCTGATATCAGAATGGTGATCTTCACGTTCGCGGGGATGTTTTTAAACAGGCCACCGAAACACCATGGCATATTTTGCTGTTTGCACAAAGGTAAAACATGTCAGTTACACTTGCCATTTCCGCGCCGGAAACATTACCTGGACTGTTTGCTCGACAACAGTGCGATTGCACATGCCGGCTCCCAGAACCCTCAACATGCTGTCATTTCGTGACCAAGCATGGTTCTCAGCCATGTGTTCCTCTGCGGTTCTAACAGTCGTAGTCTCTTGCGAGAGATATTGTATCGCCGTATCGGCCTGCGTCTCATTGAAATCGAGGGCGGGGTCGACGAGTATGATGGTGGTTTCCTTCTTTGTGGGCAAAAATGGAAGGAGCTCTAATGCCACTGGGCCTCCAAGAGAATGTCCCATAATTACGTCATAGGAGGTATCATTGGCGAAATACGGTAGGAGGTCTTTTGCATAGGCGGACATACGAAAGTCGCTGCCCCCTCTCCATGCATGCCCGAGTAGATTCGGCGCTACAACGAAGAACCCTAATGAACCAGTCAAAAAGAGTATCATCACCATAGTGTTACAAATACTGACCTTCTGCAGTTAATAGCTGAGCGAGGCCCTCCCATGAACTTGAACACATAGTCAAGCCATGAAGGAGCAGAGCCCGCTTAGATGCGCTAGGGGAACCCCACTGAGTAGCTGAAATGGACATCAAGATGGCTCTGAGAGGTGTGTTCGATAGCTTGTGAGCAGAGATACTTGTAAGAATGAAGATATTAGGATCTTCATGTCTTCGTTTAGAACACGAGCCTCAGATATTCCGCAATAGCATAAGTTGTTATGCATTGACAGAACAGTGAAAGCAAGCTGACCGGGTTAATGACGTGTCGCCTAGGAATGGTCCAGTGCCAACGAACAAGAACGAACTCCCAAGTGTATCACTTTCAAATTGCAGGGTACTCTGGCAGAAGTTGTTGCGGCACCTGAGATCTCTCCTAATACAAACATCGCTACCGCTTGGCTGAATGAATGCAACGACCAAGAGTGAGTACTTGTCAACTGGGACGAAGCCTTGGTGGTTATTGGCTAGTGCCTGGTAGTGCCCGCTGTGCCGCATCATCACCGTTTGGTCCCCTGACGCAGAGACAATGAGTAGCTGGCTGCAGGCGACACTTTGTTCCAAATATTTCGCACGCCCAGCCAGCAACATGGGTCGAAGTGTGGTCATAGAACTTCATTCATTGCAAAGAAATATGACATCTTCTGGTTTCGCTGGCACCACGGGCCTGAGTCATTACGCCAGCTAAACATGTGGAAAAGTTCACTTATCTGTCAACGGTGAAGTTTTTGGACCAAGCCATAAATCAAAAGTACATGCCGTGCAATAGCGCTGCTACGTACGCCTTGTGTGTGTTGTCATCATCGAAGGTGATGTTCGGGTGTTGAACCATGAATTATCAGGTCGCAAGGCTGGATTGTTCAGTGAGCTTTCTTATTGAACTACTTCCCACTTCCTACACTACTTCCTGCTTCCCACTCCCTACTTCCCACTTCCTGCTTGATAGTTGAGATAATACCTGGTAGCACGGTCCGCGGGCACCTGTGAAGAGCGCATTGGGTGCCTCCGGAATTTTGGTGTTTTAGGCAATGGACAAATACTTGGTGAATGGCCTCACGCAGGCACCTTACCCTTAACCTAAGCCGGAGAAAAACAATTTGTGGGAGAGGTGTGAACACGGTGCGTGCGCCTTGCTGTCTATCCGGAATGGAAACAGGATTCGTCCAATTGAATGGGCAGCAGGGAGGATCTCCGAGTGTCTATTAGGAAGGATTGTATACAACCATCATCAGTGCATTCAATATCGGAGATATGTGCTGGCTGAGGACTGCTGTGAGCACAGTGCGCACGCAACATCACAGCAGGAACGGAAGCGTTCGGCTGTCAAGTATTTATTCCTGCAGACAACGTTTAGCGATGACTCTGACTGGGCAAAGTTAACAGATACGAACATCTCGCTGGATACACGTGTGCGTCGCAGTTAAGACAACTCAACAAAAAAGTCTGCCGTCATATCCCCTTCTCTCGCAAAAACATTTCCATAGTATTCTAAAGCTCCACTTGGAGTAGGACGGTCGGTTGGAGAAGGTGTTGAGTTCATCAGGATGAAGCGTGATGACAGTGATGCGGAAGCCAACAGCAGCGAGGCGCTGTTGAAGTTCAGAAGAATAGGGAATGTTCGCAAATTTCGTCAAGCCTCATGGAAAAATTCTAAGAGACTGAAGATACCGAGGAAGGCAAATCTAATTGTGTGAAAGTGGGAAGAGCGCATTTTTGAACTCGTCGTTGAGATGATCGAGGTTGCGGAAGCGAGGTCGCCTTGACACGGTAGTGGCCGTTTGAAGCGACCTGGAAGGTAAATAAGTGAGCTTTCAGGGAGAGTACAGCGTGTAGATGCACGTACAATGGCTATGTGGACATATGAATGAGGTTCTGCTACTGTCTGGTCCAGTAGCGGTTGCAGTGAACAGCTTGCAATGCTGTATTGTGGACTGAAATCTATTCAGCACGTCGAAATCATGAACGTAAAGAACGTATATCGACTCAGAACATCCAATCTCATAAATTCTTCTGCCGCCTTTCTTCGCATTCCGAACGTCCCAAGTCATTCCAACCAAATAACATCACTGTTGCCAGGACTCAACCCCTCTGCTTTCAGTTGCGCATTCGCTGCCTCTGCCTTGTTCTAGTTGTGTGCGGTCATATACGCCTTGGCACCATGGCGTGCAAGGTGCTTCAAATTTGAGTAGCCGATCCGTGCGCTACAAAGCGACTGTGTAATCTGACATGCTCACTTGACGCCTGTAATAGCTTATAAGGGCATATTTGCCAGACAAATCTGGGAGATCAGTACTTCAGTGACCGGTTCGAAGGACTTTGAGAATAAAAGCACGGTACTGAGAAAAAATAAATGCAACCAGAAAAAAAGCAGAGGTAAATGTCGAGCGCATAGCAGGCTTTGACGGGCCCAGGGCATTACGAGACTCTGACATGGACGCGAACGTACTAGTCTGTCTTTTCCTGGAACCGGGATCAATTGATTGGCAACAGGCCCGTCACTGTCAGTGTCAAATTTGTAAGTAAAATCGGACTTTGAGAAATTGCCGCATCGTATCACTTGCGACATACCTAACAGTCCCCCATGAGCGCACACAAGTCGACCGTCTTCCAGATAGGTCTCAAGTGTCATTTTGGAACTTCAAGATGACACTCGTTCAAACTTTATGACCGTCGCTGTTAACGTGTAAGTTCGTAAAATTGTTACCACATGGTTTGTGACGCATTGTGACACGGGTCACGGGAGTTACATGTCACATCACGCATAACTTCGTACGTCACAAGTACACTGGCACCGCTATCATGTCATCAATCAGACGAACACCGTGTAGGTAGGTGAGGACGGCCAGAGTGTTTCAACTTTGCTAATCACTTCTCCGTGGTACACAGCAATCCATGTCTGAAGACATTGAGCAGCAAATTTCCCTACTTCGCAAATCACGATGGGTTAACCTCTCTGGGCTCGTTGATTGTGCTATGAAACGTCTTTCAAAACCGACCTGCCAATCCATCCAACTTCTCGGAAACGGCAGCTACAACACCGTCTACAAACTGGTGTTCGTTGATGGCACTGAGATTGCCGCTGGCGTGTCAGTACATGATGATGAGGACTTTAATCCCCAGGCGAAGCTGTCTGAGATAGCCACGATGCAGTTCGTTCGCGCGTCCGGCTTGTATCCAGATATTCTGGTCCCACAAGTCCACGGTTGGGACATCACATTTTCTAATCCAGTTGGTGCGCCGTATGTTCTCATGGACAGTCGTTTACGGACGAAAGCTCAACGATCTCAACAATAATGACAATAGCCTTTGTGGTCTGGATGGTATGTCAGAAGTGCAGCAACTAACCATCACAAAAACTCTGGCAAAGTTACAATCTGCTTTGTCAGCACCTGCACCGTTTGACAGGAATATGCAGCATTACCCTCAATGACGAAGGAAGCTCTATCATGGGACCACTCTTCACCCTCACACAGCAGAACCTTGGGGGTCCGTATAAATCCCTCACAGATCTCTGGAGAACCCGACTGGAGGATGAGATCTTGCATGCTATGAGGGAATGGTCCAGGCTTGAGACGGACCAACTTTCACAATCCCTGTCAGAGCCCAAATGCACCCCTCAAAAGTTTTCTGAACTCTACCAACTTCTCTCCTCGCTCATACCTCACTTCGTCCCTCCATCATCTTACCTTTCCTTGGTCTTACATCATCCTGACCTCGCACTCCGCAACGTCTTTTTTGATCCAACTGACGACACCAAAATCGTAGGCCTCATAGACTGGGGCGGCGCACAGATTCTCCCTCTCATGCTCACCGCCAAGTTTCCTGACGACTTGAATTCGACCGGAGATGATCCATGCGAGAGACCAGGGATCCCCGACTGAGGGTTGGAACACCGTGCCGCATAACTGGACTTCGTTCGGTGACACTTCCAAGTGGCCGAAGGTCTTCCGGGGTCCAAATGATCAAGTCGATCTGACCATTCGAGCGCGCTTCCATGATCAGACGGTATTACCTCCGTCCAGCACTTTGGTGTATGTTTTGCCCAGGAGAACCATGATAGATATGGTGACTATAATACTGGTCGTGCGATGTTGTTCGCGCATGCACCGTATTATCTCAAGTTCCACGAGATCATCACGGGCGGCTGGACCGCTTGGGTCGATCATGCCGAGTGGGTACGTGAGACGTATTGGCGAGTAAATGCAGTAAAACAGAACGGTCGGGGGGATGCATTGATCGTCGGTCCAAACGTCTACCGCAACTCCATGGAGAAGTCAGTGATTGACTTGAGCATCTTTGAGGAGCATTTCTTCGAAAATGAGAAAGATTACGAGGAAGAAGAGGAGACGGGCGAATAAAACGATAACAGACAGTACGTGGCGAGACTCTGTACAACACGAAATTATCTCACCATATGATCATTTTGAAATAGGTGTTGGCTTCTCCCGCTCAGACCACGGAGCGCCTGATTTTCTGCCACAACTTGCACTGGACCTTGTACCGATTATAATTTAGGCGGAAATAGGACCGTCATGTATAAGCTCGTCGTCTCTCTCGTTCCATCGAGTAATCGCGTGTTGCGTACTCACTCGATATTCGATATTGTAACACGAACTGAGGGCCCCTCCACGAACCGAATGACGTTTAAGTGTATTAGCTAGATATAAATACGAAATACGATACATTAATGAAACAAACAGAAGTCAGGATGGGCATGATAACATATCAATAGCGGCAACCGTTTCGTCATACTATAGTGCTGAGATCGACGTCTTTGCCCACTGTTCGTCAGGCATTAATCAACAAAGCAAACCCTCCATCAAATCTCCTTCTCCCGTAAAAACTTCTCCACGGTATCCCAGAGCTCCTTCGCAAGCCCCTCGTCCTTTGCCAACTTCGCAGGCTCTGTTATCTTACCTACAGGCATTAAATACACTCCCTTGTACTTCTCGCGCTGCTTGACCACTTCCTCTGACGCAGCTGCGAACACCGAGTTGTATGCACCCTTGTCCGGATGCGAAAAGAAGAGGGCCATGATGGGCTTGACGATCCACTTGATTTTGGCAAGGGCCGGTTCGTCGGAGAAGGTGTTGACTGACCCGGGGTGAAGAGAGATGACAGTAATGGGGGAGCCACCAGCGGTGAGGCGTCGTTGAAGTTCAGAAGCGTAGAGTATATTCATAAGTTTCGACATGCCTTGCGAGGGATTTTATGAGATATAAGATACCGAGGAATAAAAGACCAACGTACAATACCGCGCGAATGAGGGGGACATCGAACGCGTAAGCTCGTTGTTAAGATCCTCGAGGTTGCGGAAACGAGGTTGCCCTGATACGAACTGGTGGCCGACTGAAGAGACCTGGGAGGTAGTTTGGAATCGTGAGCTCGTAGGACGTATACGGTGAAGTAGATTCACACACCACGATTATGCGGACATCTGAATTAGGTTCTGCTGCTGTCTGGTCTAGAAGCGGTTGAAGGCTTCGTGTCAGGACAGCAGGACTTATTACGCTGGAGTGGATATAGGTGAGGACTTGGTACATGTTTTTTTAGAAGACGCACTTGACCATCATGACATCCTGAACTCCTGTGATGCTGCATAAGGGCGGATCTTTATGAAGCGGAATCAAAACTTACCATCCGGTGTCATGGCGTAATGCCTCGAGCAATCTGTGGGGTCATTTCAGCATCAATTATGCCAACGCGAGCTAAACAGGTTACATTGCTGCATTGTGAACTGTAATTCATTCAGTAAAATGAAATCATGAATGACCAGAAAAATATTGACTCAGAACGTCCAATCGTTTCTCCTGTTTCATAACTTCCTCCGCCGCTTTCTTCGCATTCCGAGGGTCCTTCAAGTCAAGTTTCAACCAGATAACATCGCCGTTCCCAGGACCTAGCCCCTCTATTTTCAGTTGTGCGATCGCTTCCTCCGCCTTGGTCTTGTTGCGTGCGGCCATGTACACCTTGGCACCACGACGTGCCAGATGCTTCACAGTTGAGTAGCCGATACCGGCGCTACAAAGCGACTGTGAATAACAATCCGGGTCACGTATGCGACACACTCACTTTCCGCCTGTAACGAGGATGACTTTGCCAGATAAATCTGGGAGGTCAATGACTGGATCGAATGACTTTGAAAAGAAACCCATGATGCACAGATAGAAGCAAAGGCGAGAAAGGACACGAGGAGATGGAGAGCACTTTAGCTGTAATTATACCTATTGCATAGGGCGGCTCGGGATGATTAGATGACAACGAATTGCTAAAGTGCTTTGTCAACAGTTCACATAATACAAGTACTATTAGTACTCTGCAGTGCGCGGCTGCACACGCACTGCGTCGGCAAGATAAGAACTAAGACTCCGTAAGTGTCGGGAGGGCCTAGCTTGCATAACGTTCTCGTTAGTCCGCCAGTTTGAATGACACACCGCGAAATTGCGACTACGTTGTTGGAAATCTGGCCCCTTTACATGACGCGGCTGGTGTCGATAGTGGCTCAAACTCAAGTAGTACAGAGTCAGACAGAGTCTGATAATTTTGGCGTGAGTGACCTGATTTTGACACTCCGACTCAACATTGACTTTAGCTCAAAATAATTAATTAAGGTATGTGGTCGAACGCACGATCTTTGTGGACCGGGGTGTCTCCCATGCAATCGCATCAAAATATTGTCAGTTCTAATGATTACATCTCGACACTCTGCTTTTCTTCCCACCCCAGCTTCGTCTCTCCAGCCTTTCATCTTCCACGCTGAGATGTTCACACGGATGTGTAGTAAACAGGCGCTGGTCAAAATCTCGGAGTAAACGTACATGTGAGCTTTGCCATGTCCTCGGGATAGTGCAACATATGCGTTAAACGGAGTGAGTTTGGCGCCGCTGAGTGTTGTAATGGGATGTCCCGCAGGGACATAGGTTCAGGAGGCAGTAGTGTTGCGGAAGTCCGGTTCGGTCCAGTTCAACAGGAAATTTTGCGAACGCTGAACCGGACCTCACGTTCGGTTCAATCATTTCGCTGAACGCTGAACCGGACGCCGTGAACGCGTTCACGGCGTCCGGTTCACGTCCGGTTCAGCGTTCGAACGTCGAACGCATTGTAAATTTACTCAATTGCCAGTGAAGCAGCATGGTTTGTGGTAGGGTACATAAAACAATGCAATTGCATGTGCGAGCATACAGCCAACAATACTAGTAGTACTGTACAGTTGTATGGAAATCAATGCAGGTGCCAGAACGAGAACGAGAACGAGAACGAGAGCAGACGATAATGAGAATGAGCGAGCGAGAGCACGCGAGAATGACAACGAACGAGTGAGCGAGAGCTGACAAGAACGTGCGAGACATGCGAGCAAGCGCAGACGAGAATAAAAGCAAGTATGAATAAAATGAAGATAAAAAAACTCATAAAGACAGGAAGGCAAGAACTCACATCGTCGACAAAGTCTCTGGATGAACCACCAATCAGTGTACTCTGCCTTGCGAGTTGAACGCGGGAGCAGATGATGAAAAATGTGTGCAGTCTGCGTAGGGGGTGCATATTTTGCCGTTGAGAGACGGTGGATGACGCGAGAGAATGGACGGTGCAGGAATTCTCATACACGGCTGTTGTAGGTGAGGCTATCATTTGCGCCCCAGGTGGCGGGGGTATGGAGCCTCCAATTCATCAGGAAAAAGGGAAAAAGTCTTAGCCATCTTACCTCACTTACAGAGACTTAATTCGACGTTAAGTTCACTAAGTTGTCAAAGCAAATCATTTCAACTTAATTTCTGCTTGGAGGATTGTTCACAAAGGAAACACAATAATAGTAAGTAATGAATGGCCAAAATTCAGCACGGAGGCTGCAGAAAAGCGTGTTCAAGTAAGAAGTTTATTTATAAGTAATCAACACCATGCTGCGATGTAACTAAGTCAATAGGCGCTATGCGAAGTACTTCCTAAGCCGACAAAGTATATAATATGTAGTCCTAATGGTAGCATTATCCAGCCAATAAGAATAAGTCAGTATCAAGTCACCAGGCAATCTCAAATGCCTGATGGTCAATGTATTTATTTACATAGTAAGTGCGGAAAGCATCAAGGGTCTGTGTGTAAGAGAGATAAGTAGGTACAAATTCATGCCCAAATACAGGCATAAGGTGTGCCGCACGAAAAATGCAGTCAAGGTGAATGACAGAGGCAAATTGTGTCCCATCCTCGCGGGTTTCAGGCTCTACTACCCACATTCCTGTGTTCTCATCTGGTGAGTCGTGCACGTGTTTGAACCAATGCACAAATGCACAAGGGTAATGTACACCATTGTGTTTAAATGAAAAGAAAAGCCTTACTTGAGCGATATCGAAGCCACGCATACCCTCGACAGTGGGATCAGTACTAATGAAAACACAGTCATATCGACCAGGGCCGTTCCTCCAGGTATCCACGGCACGAATTCGCTCGTAGCGCATACCGCCGATGCCTGAGACATCACTGGGAGCGAAGAAGGTGGCAATGGCAGATGTATACAGAGTTATTTTTTCATGTAGTTCGGGAAGGGCACTGGACGAGCCAGCGCCAGACTCGGAGGCTTCTGAGTTGGAGTCAGAACAATGGAGCTGGTCATGTAAAAATCGCTGAATGTGAGTGGTGAGTTCCGGTTCACCAATTTGATCTGCGAGTAGGTCTGCGTAGATCCGTTTTGCTAAAAATTTGTTGTAAGTAAAAAGCACGCCAGGTAAATGTACTACTCCACTCACCAGATTTCTTCGCCAAGTCTACATGAGCTATCACCGTCGGTCCAGCAACAGCGTCACCCTCGAGCTCAGCATCTTGGTCTGCATCAGCCTCCAAGTTGGCATTCACGTGATTGTTGCGTCCGAGATGGGGAATGTCAATCGGCTCGTCCTCGAGCCGGACTTGAATGGCTTCTGCATTGTGCACTGGAGCGTTTAGCCCTGTGTGTGATTTGTGTTAGTAATATTAGTGGTCAAATGCTAGTAGACGTACCGAGTTTATCAAGGATATATGATAGACATGTTCCTGTTAGCATCCCACGGCTAGCAAAGTCAACACGAGACGCCGCTAACTTATCTAGACGTTGATTTGTCAGTAACATCTGATTGAGGGCTTCGAACCGACTGGACCGTCGCCACGGCTCCTTGACAGCCTTGATATGTTTAGATTCTGTGATGGAAGAACAGAGTCCGTTTGGTGCGCCAAACGATCGGATCATTTTGTGGTAGTGGATAAGCGAGTGTTGTCGAGGGAGGTTGAATCCATTAGGGCGAACACCGGATGTTTCAAATATTTCGCGGTGCCTGTGGAAACGCTCGAGTGCATCATCCAACGCATTGAGGCTGTTGGAGTCGATGATATTGCGCCGCGCTGATGTACACAAAATCAATTAATGCTTGCAAAGTCAGCACCATCTCCGGAGGTACGTGGCCTTCAATCGCGGGTATATACACCTATAGTAGTAAGAATACACGTTAGTCAACACTACTCGTGATGATGGAACACCCGTTCATCGACTCGAACGTACCTTCATCAGTGCTTTGGAATCATCTCCCGTCCACTGTTTGAAGCCCCTTCCCTCCGGGAATCGTCGAAGGCCCGCAAATGAGGGAGCAAGAGCAATACTAGTTGTAGAGTGCATCAATACCAGTCATTGCAACCCAGCATGTTGAAAATTGGACTTACCGGTGATCAATATCATCTAATATTATATTCACCTCGTTTTCCGAGTACCGAGCCTTAATGTATTTGTGGACCCAGGTGACGATATGGTCCTTGAACGCACCCTTTATCAGCTGATGTAAAATGTCGGGGGAGAGGAGTTCGTGAATGTCGGCTTGCGGGAAATAGTTAGTGAATGGCTGTAGAACACATAGTATATTGTAATTTGTCAGCTCGCACAATGACTACAATAATGAAGGTACAAACCACGATGTCTCCTACAAGTCCATATTCGTCCCATAGCACACCTAACTCGAATTCCTCCACCAAGACTTCGGTATGGTTGCGGGAACGCCGACCATAGGTACCATTGTCAAGACCATCAGCCGGAGCAGTACATCTGGATGGATGTGTAGTAAGTAGACAGTACTAGCATAACATGAAGAAATACATACTTTGG